AAACACCTGATTGGTCTAATAAAGAGCCAAATGGCCAACAGCAAGGCAGGAGAAGGATAGGTGGGGCTGGCAGGAAGAGAGAATACACAGGAGAAAAAATCTAGGTTTGAGAGAGAGAAGAGGACAAGAGAATGAGGGAGAAAGAGAGGGACATGCCTGGGGCCAGAAGTCAGGCAGCTGCCAGCCAGCCACACATGGAGACAGCAGGAAAGTAAGACACACAGAAAGAAAGAAAGGTAAAAAGGCCCGAGGCAAAACGAGATGAAGAGAAACAGGATAAATTAAGTTATAAGAGCTAGCAAGAAACAAGTATAAGATAAGGCTGATCATTCATAACTAGTAAGAGGTCTCCATGTCATGATTTGGGAGCTGGTTGGTAGCACAAAAGAAAGCCTGTTACACTTTGGATACACTCACAGCTCGTATGTCTGTTATGTGCTATTCTCAAATAAATAATGCTACTCTTTGCAGACAAGTTACCGAGGCTGCCAAATATGTCATCAACCTTCCGTACAGGTCAAACATAGGCAATCAAGGCCAGCTGATGACTCAGTGAGCGAAGCTGCTTCGACTAAGCCGAAGGACCCGAGTTTGAAGCACACAACCCACATGGTGGAAGGAGAAAACTGACCCTCACCAGCTGTCCTTTGATCTCCTCACATGCCCCATGGTATGTATGCCCTCTCCATCAATAAGTGTAATTAAAAATAGAGAAAATAAAAGTAAACTCAACAACAACAACAATAATAATAATGATAAAAGAAAGGCAAGATTGCTGCTGTGGTGATGGGAACCAATCCACAGGTACTACAAAAGCCCAAGAGACGCTTTGTATGAGAAATGCTTAATGCATCAGAACAATATTCTTTTTGGCTGTGACTCCGATGCCCTTAGGGTGGAGGACTTATAAATCTCCTCCTCTACGCAATAGCCTTAAGTGAGAGTTAGAGAGCCATAACAAATACTTAAGAAGAGCTGGGCACGTGATTTTCGGCTATATGCAAAAATACAAATGAGACCGTATTTTTTGACTAGTTTCTTAGCATGGACAAATACTGGGAAGCAACCCGTGGGAATACCTGAAAAACATGTTAACAATAATGTAAATGAACACTGGATAGCCAGTCATTAATTGTGATTTAGATAAAAGTGCTAAAATATGATGGCAAAAAGTTAAGAGCTGGGTGTGGTGGCTCAAGTCTTTAATCCCAGAACTCAGGAAGCAGAGGCAGATGAATCTCAGTTAAGGGTAGTCTGGTCTGCAGGGCTAGTTCCAGGACAGGGCTACACAGAGAAACACTGTCTTAAAAAACCATAAAAAAAGTTATTTACTGTTTTGTCCCCTCTCTTGTAAAAACAGTAAAGTAGCTATTTGCTTTGTTATTGCAGATGAACAGACATAAGATGAACAATCATATGACTTAGCTCACTGGCAAGGAAAAGAACTAGCAGGTCTAATTCAGTAGGCTTACTTTTGCTTTCTCTCTCTCTCTCTCTCTTTTTTTTTTTTTTTGGTTTTTCAAGACAGAGTTTCCCTGTGTATCTTTGCGCCTTTCCTGGAACTCACTCTGTAGTCCAGGCTGGTCTCGAACTCACAAAGTTCCACCTGCCTCTGCCTCCCGAGTACTGAGATTAAAGGCGTGCGCCACCACCGCTCGGCTTACTTTTTCTAAAAAAATTATTTATTTATTTTATATGATGGTGTTTTGCCTGCATGTATGTCTGTGTGAGGATGTCAGATCTTGAAGTTACAGACAGTTGTGAGCTGTCATGTGGGTGCTGGGAATTGAACCCAAGTCCTCTGGAAGAACAGCTCTTAACCACTGAGCCATCTTTCCAGTCCCACTTTTTTTTTTTTTGAGACAGGGTCTCACCAGGTATCCCCTGGCTGGCCTGGAGCTCGCTACGCAGACCAGGCAGATTTCAAACTCAGAGAGCTCTCTGAGTGTTACCTCTGCCTCCTGAAGGCGAACTTCTTCTTAGTTCAAAAGCGCACAGTGGATGGTGAGGGAGACTGTCGCAGTAGAACTGAATCGGTGTCGCCGAGTGCTGCTGCCACTCCGTGACCGGAGCCTGCTGGACTCAGCATGATTTTCAAATAAGAGAGCTTTAGTGGAATTAGGAGCTGTGCTGCCTGCCAGACAGATTTCTTTCTTTCTTGCGAGACAGGGTTTCTCTGTGTAGGCCTGGCTGTCTGCCTCCCGAGGGCTGGGCCTAAAGGCGTGCGCCACCACCACCATGCGGCTGACAGATTAGATGTCTTCTCTCTTCTCTCTGGCCTCTCTTTCTGTTTAACGTTCCTTTATCTGGAGTGAAGACTCAGCAGCCAAGAGCACCGGTTGCTTTTACAGAGTACCCACTTTTGGTCCCCAGAATCCACAAGGCAACTCCAACATCTGTAGCTCCAGTCCCAGGAGATGCCCCTCTTCTGGCTCCCTTGGCACACCGTGCACAGACAAACACGCAGGCAAAACACCCAAACACTCAAAATAATAATACAGTTATTTATTTGTAACTTTGTTGTTTTTTTTTTTTTTCTAAGACAGGCTTCTCTGTGTTGCCTTAGCTGTCCTAGAACTCCCTTTGTAGACCAGGCTAACCTCGAACTCACAGAGATCTGCCTGCCTCTATCTCCTGAGTGCTGGGATTAAAGGCAGGTGGTACCACCACCACCCGATAATAAATTTATTTTTATTTTTAAATATTTGTGTTATTTGTGTTTGTAAATGTGCACTTGTTTGTGCACATGCATGTGAGGTGTTTGGGCCTGTGCTATGTAGAGGTCAGAGGAAGGCACTGGACCTCTCAGAGCTGAAGCGACAGGTGTTTGTGGGATTCCTGGCTCGTTCCATACATGCTGGGACTGAATTCCAGTCCTCATGACCGCACAGCAAGCAATCTGAACTCTGTTCTCTCTCCAGCCTTCCTTTCCTTCTATTTTATCTTAAGAGATAAAGTCTTGGCTAGGCAGTGGTGGTACAAACTTTTGTTCCCAGCATTCGGGAGGCAGAGGCAGGTAGATCTCTAGGTTCAAGGCCAGCCTGGTCTACAGACTTCCAGGATGGTCAGGGCTACACAGAGAGACCCTGCTTGGGAAACAAAAACAAACAAACGAAAACCCAAGTAGAACATACACTAAGGTCATGCACCGCTTAACAGCAATGGGAACCAGCTTGTATGGTGACACCTGCTATGGGAGAGTTCTTCACTCAAATGGCATCTGAAATATCCAACCCAAGCACACCCATCAGAATAGCCATTAGGACAGCCAAAGAGTCTCAAGTCAGAAATGCAGTTATGGGAGATTTCCAGATTTCTGAAAACATCACTGAAGTAAACAAACTGGTGGGGGTAATATTTTTGCTTGTTTTGCTTGTTTTGTGTCTTTCTATGTAGTCCTGGCCAATCTGGACCTTGCTATGTAGATCAGGCTGGCCTTGAATCCACAGAGATCCACTTGCCTCTGCTTCCTGAGTGTTTGGATTATATGTATGTGCCCAGCTTTTGCTAAAGTTTTTGCATGGCACTGACCTTGGTGAAGAGACAGAGCACAGGACACACTGATTTTTTTTTTTTTTTTTTTTTGGTTTTTCGAGACAGGGTTTCTCTGTGTAGCTTTGCGCCTTTCCTGGATCTCGCTCTGTAGACCAGGCTGGCCTCGAACTCACAGAGATCCGCCTGCCTCTGCCTCCCGAGTGCTGGGATTAAAGGCGTGCGCCACCACCGCCCGGCCTAGGACACACTGATTTTAAAGTCACTTCATAATTCTAAAGAGGGCTAATTTCTGCTCAGAAGAGAAATAACAACTGTTCGTGAGGACATGGAACAAACTGGAATGATGGGAATAAAAACAGTCTGGTTGGAAATAGGAAACAGCAAGGCAGTTTGTTGAAAAGTTAAACATGCTGGATGGTGGTGCACCCTTTTAATTACTAGCACTGGTGAGGCAGAGGCAGGCAGATCTCTGAGTTCAAGGTCAGCCTGGTCTATAGAGTGAGTTCCAGGACAGCTATGGATACACAGAGAAACCCTGTTTTGAAAAACAAACACAAACAAAAAACAAAAAAAAAGAAATTGAACACTGAGTCTGATAGGACTTAAGACCTTATGAAAAGGCATTCACCTCATGTAAGAACACAGCAAGAAGTTGAAAGACAGAAGAGAGCTCTCATCAGAAATTGACCATTTTGGCAACCTGCATTGGGTCTGAAGGCTGGACAACTGTGGAAAATAAATTTCTGCCAGTTCCTGATCTACGAAAGAAAATGACTCTTCTTAGTCCTAATGTGTGGGCTAATGAGTGTTCACCTGGCCCACCTGGATGTCCTGCCACAGGAGAGGTCTTAGGCTTCTACATACATTCATATGTATCTTCTTGTTTTTTCATACCTTATGTAAGTATCTTATTCCATGGTTTAACTTAGTTCTCAAATATCTTATGGTGTGTGATATGCACTTAGTAGAAACCATATTTCTAATCTCTGCATTTTGGATCTTTCTAGTGAGACATGAGAGCGTGGTCCTTCCCACTGTGCTAGGCAGTGGCAGTGAGCCATAGCTCTCAACCACAAGATTTTTTTTTTTTTGGTTTTTCGAGACAGGGTTTCTCTCTGTAGCTTTGGAGCCTGTCCTGGAACTCGCTTTGTAGACCAGGCTAGCCTCGAACTCACAGAGATCCACCTGGCTCTGCCTCCTGAGTGCTGGGATTAAAGGTGTGAGCCACCACCGCCCGGCTTTCAACCACAAGATCTTAAAGGTAGCAACTTTCCAAAGAGAAACAACACTAATGAATAAAAGATCAATCTTCAAAGAGGCAGATTTATTTTTGCCTTGCAAGGCATTGAGCATGTCTTGATATATTCACTAAACACATTGCAGAAGTTAGATAGATTCAAGCTATGAGGTTACTACAATGGGCATATGACCTTAAAAGGCATTCTGAAAATGAAGAGCTTGAGTATTGTGATCTGACAAAGAAATATTTTCAATAGCAGCCATACCTCTGATGTCAGTTTCCCAGCAATCTGCATTCTCTTAATCTCTGCAGGAGATTTAACTAGCCGGAGGCGCTGGATCAGCTGCTGGACACTCCGAACCTTGTTTTTGCTCCTGGCTTTGGCTTCAGTTAGATGCTGCATGTAGTCTGAGTGAAGCTGTGTATGAGAAGGCTTCATCCAGTCATACCAAACCATGCTCGTCTCAGCTTAAAATGGGAAGCAAAAAGTAAGTTTAGAACCAACAGAGGCTGAAGGTCTATCTTAGTGGTAGAATGCATGCTTAGCGCTAAGAAGGCCCTTGGGTCAGTCTCCAGCACCAAGCAGTAATATACAATAAACTAACACTGGCCTGGGTGTGATGTTGCATTGTTATAATCACACACCCGGAAGGTGGAAGTCAGAGTACTAGGACTCAGCTACATAGCTAGTTCAAAGTCAACCTGGACTACTTGAGATCTGCCTCAGAAAGCCACAGGGAGAAAAAAATCCCTAACATCGGGATATAAAATAGTTCAATGGTGAAACATAAATGAAACATAAACAAACAGAAAATAATAATAAATGTGCTAAGCAAGACAAAGCTATAAAATCTGTTGTGTGGAATCCTGGAAGGCTGAGTGACACTTTCTCAAGACTGAAGCATCTGATAGGTTTGACATGAATCATTGGAAAGGTCATTCTCTGAAAGTGGTATGATGCTCTGGGATATACACAGCTTTCTACCACAAAATGTCACTATTCTTATGAAAACGACAGATGGGACTAAAGCTTTATTTAAGTTTGAATTTTGATATTTTTTAACTTCTTTTTTTGTTTTTTCGAGACAGGGTTTCTCAGTGTAGTTTTGGTGCCTGTCCTGGATCTCGCTCTGTAGACCAGGCTGGACTACACAGAGATCCACCTGCCTCTGCCTCTTGAGTGCTGGGATCAAAGGCGTGTGCCACCACTGCCCGGCCTATTTTTTAACTTTTAAAGAACAAATGCAACAGTTGTTCTTTCCTACCACAGCTGATTCAGAGGCATTCCTGAATTACGATGCATAAAAATGATAGTGATCAGCTAATGACTTTCTGGTTAAGGAGTCCACCCTTGTGTAAAATGGTCTGGGGACAAGCTGGCATAAAGTAGGTCTCCCAGTTTGGGACAGTTATTCATTGTATCTATCATTTATTTTGTTGTAGGATCTAAAAAGACAGTCTTATCTGTCCCTGAGACTATGCTCTAAGGGCTCAGAATGAAAATGACATATACCGCTTAGCAGCATCTGTATAATTCATCTTTTTGCTAAAAGTAAGTCAAAAATGATATTTTTAAAAAATTTGTTTTTGGTTTCTTGAGACAGGGTTTCACTATACATACTTGACTGCCCTGGAATTCACTGTGTACACCAGGCCAGGCTAGCCTGGAATTGACTGAGATCCACCTGCCTCTGCCTCCCGAGTGCTGGGATTACAGGCGTGTGCCACCATCCCTGGCCAAGAATGACATTCTTAACTAAATCTGTAGGACTCTATGATTAAAAAGTACATTAGACTGGGAGGTGGTGATACATGCCTTTGATCCAAGAATTCCTGTAGGTAGAGGTGTGTTCAAGGACAGCCTGGTCTACAGAGTGAGTTCCAGGATAGCCAGGGCTACATGGAGAAGTCCTGTCTCAAAAACAAACTAAAACAAAAACCAACCAAACCAAACCAAACCAAAACAACAAAATCAACAAAAAGTAGACTGGGCTACAACAGGGGAAGAATGGAGGAAATTCTGACTGGGCTTGCATTATGATGTGATAGGCTAAGCATTTTTTGACCTGGTTTCTCTGTATAGCCCTGGCTGTAATGGAACTCACTCTGTAGACCAGGCTGTCCTCGAACTCACAGAGATCCCATGCATCTGCCTCCTGAGTGCTGGGATTAAAGGTGTATGGCTCCAATGGCCTGCCATTTGAAAAATAAAAATGCCATTAAATGTACACTGCATGGGAAGTACTAAATTACAATAGTATATGTATCAATTATTTAAAAAAATTAAACCATCCCTATCACTTATTTTCTGTGTATAAAAATCAAAGCTCAACATTTATTGGGCTGGTTTTCTATGACAGTGCTGAGGTTGGAAACTGAGGCCTGGTACATGCTGGACAAGTGATATACTATCAAGATACAATTCCAATGCAGTTGTAAACTTGTAAATAAGTTTATTAGATTCTGTGGTGATATTTTGTTTGTGTTTTAATAAATATTGCCTGAAGATCAAAGAAAGGAGATTGCAACTAGAGGCTAGGCAGTGGTGGCACACATCTTTAATCCTAACACTTGGGATCTCATGCCTTTAATCCCAGCACTAGGGAGGTGGAGACAGAATGTCTGAGTGGAGAGGGAGTGTAATGTGGGAGGAGACAGGAACTCAGTCCCTTTCAGGCTGAGGATTCGGTAGAGGTAAGAAGTCTTTCCAGTGGCTGGCTGCTCTGCTTCTCTGATCTTTCAGCTTTTACCCTGATACCTGACTCCGGGCTTTCATTATTAAGACCAATTAGAATTTGTGCTACACCAACACTTCTGGTATCTGGTACTTTTACCCATCAAACATTAAGAATAGTGGATAAGCTGGGCACAATAGCACATGCCTTTAATGCCAGAGGCAGGCAGATCTCTGTGAGCTCCAGGACAGCTGGGGCTATATAGAACCTGTCCCCACCAACCCCCCAAAAAAAGGAAGAAAAAAAAAAAAAAAGAAAGAAGAAAAAAAGCTGGGTTTGGCAATGCCTTTAATCCTAGCACATGAGAGGCAGAGAAAGGCATATCTCTGTGAGTTCCAGGCCAGCTAGAGCAGCAATGAGACTCTGTCTCAAAACAAACAAGCCGGCCGGGCGGTGTTGGCGTACGCCTTTAATCCCAGCACTCGGGAGGCAGAGCCAGGCGGATCTCTGTGAGTTCGAGGCCAGCCTGGTCTCCAAAGCGAGTACCAGGAAAGGCGCAAAGCTACACAGAGAAACCCTGTCTCGAAAAACCAAAAAAAAAACCAAAAAAAAAACAACAAAAAAAAAACAAGCCAGCAAAAAACCCAAGCAAAAAAAAGAATAATGACTAGGAGCTAATGAGACAGACAGCTAATGAGACAGCTCAGTGGGCAGAGGTGTCTGGCTGGTAACTTCCGCTTGACCCCAGGAGCCCAATAATGGTGGGAGGAGAGAACTGACTCCACAAAGCTGCCCTCTAACTTCCCCATGTATGCTGTGGCATACCTGCCCCTTCCCACATCACACACACAAAAATAATAAAAATAAACTTTAAAGAAATAGTGGATAAATCCAGCCTGGTCTACAGAGCGAGATCCAGAAAAGGCGCAAAGCTACACAGAGAAACCCTGTCTCAAAAAAAAAAAAAAAAAAAAAAAAATAGTGGATAAAAACAAAACAACTCCCCGCCCCCCCCCAAAAAAAACTGATGAGAAAAGTGCTTTCAAGAAACACATGTATTGTGAGGACTTAACTATACGTGGTTAAAATTTTAAAAAAAAAATTATGTGTAGGGATGTTTTGACTGTATATATGTATATGTACCATGTTTGTGTCTGGTGCATGCAGAGGCCAGGAAAGGGTGTTAGATCCCCCAGAGCTGAAGTTAGGATGGTTGTGAGCCACCCCCCGTGGATGCTGGAAATCAAATCTGGGGCCTCTGGAAGAGAAACTGGTCTTCCACTGAGCCTTTTCTCCAGCTCCAGGTTAATTCTGACTGCCAAAGCCGACAAAGGCAGCAACTCAGGTGAGAAATGAAAAGGCCAGAGAGAGCCGGGCGGTGGTGGCGCACGCCTTTAATCCCAGCACTCGGGAGGCAGAGCCAGGCGGATCTCTGTGAGTTCGAGGCCAGCCTGGTCTACAGAGTGAGATCCAGGAAAGGTGCAAAGCTACACAGAGAAACCCTGTCTCGAAAAACCAAAAAAAAAAAAAAAAAAAAAAAAAGAAAAGGCCAGAGAGAAAACGCCTTGTGCTCAGTGTCCATGTGGTTCTCAGCTATAGCCCAAGACAGGCCTCATCATTTAATCCAGGCTGATCTTAAAACTGTCGTAGAGCTGGGTGGTGGCTGGAGTACACCGTTAATCCCAGCACTGACTGATTCAAATTCTGCTTGCTGTGGTACAAACCCATAATCCCAGCATTTAGGAGGCAGAGGCAGGTGGATCTCTGTGACTGGTCTACAAAGCAAGTTCCAGGACAGCCAGGGAAACCCTGTCTCAAAAAACCAACCAACCAACAACCAACAACAACAACAAAAACCTTTCAGAGATTCTCACGTTTCAGTCTCCCTGAGTGTTGTGATACAACACATGCCACCACATTTAGCAATAGTTTTTATAAAAGAAACGCTACTAGGAGAATTATTTTAGAAAATTAACAACTACAGGCCAAGGAAGGCCTGAATTCTAACGTGGCCTGCGATTTGATTTTACTAGCATTACCTTTCAGTTTAGGTACTAGGTGTTGAAATTCTTCCAGGGTGTAGGCTTCATCCACCCCAGTGAGGGCTATCGCTCCATCCGTGCCAGACCGAGGGCCATCCCACAGTTCTCGACCAGGGTCTCTCCGAGGCACAAAAAGCATGGCCTTATGGGATGGCAACTGCTTCCCAGAGAAGCTCTGAAGGACCAGAATGCTGTCAGGCTCCTGGAATCCACACAGATACAGGAAATTGTTGTCCTGGTGGAACGTGTAGGGGATGTCATTGCTCATGTAGTACGTAGGGTTAGAGAGGACCACCACCGTGTGGTCGGTTCCACTGTGCTCCTGTGCTTCCTTGTGGACCAGAGCCATCAGCTTGTGTCTTCGAAGTGCATATTCCACCTGGGACAGTCCTGGTGTCACCTCCCCTAGAAATGGACGGGAAAAAAGTCATTGGATGTTTTGAATGGCTAGACTTACACTGCTAGAGTACCTAAAATCGTTAGTATCGGAAGGAGACATCTATGATCATTCCTTTAATTGATGATATAGCACACAAAGAATTAGGATAATTCAGGTTTTTAATTCACTGCAAATTGTAGTCAAATGTGATTACATCTGAAAAATTATTATTATGACCCTGTAAGATTTTGTACAGATCTTTGGTTTCTTCTTTTATTCCTCTAATCAAGTGTTTATCAAGCATTATTTTTTTTATTTTTTTTTAGAGACTCTTTTTTTTTTTTTTAAGATTTATTTATTTATTATGTACACAGAGGAGGGTGCCAGATCTCATTACAGATGGTTGTGAGCCACCATCTGGTTGCTGGGAATTGAACTCAGGACCTCTGGAAGAGCAGTCGGTGCTCTTAACCTCTGAGCCATCTCTCCAGCCCTCAAGCATTATTTTTAAAAATATTTATTTATTTTTATGCATATGGGTGTTTGCTTACATATATGTCTGTGTAACACATGTGTGCTGGTCCCCTCAAGAGGCCAGAAGAAGGTGTTAGATCCCCTGGACTTGAAATTACAGATGGTTGTGAGCCACCATGTGGGTGCTGGAAACGACACCTGGGTCTTCTGCAAGAGCAGCCAGTGCTCTTAATGGCTGAGCCGTCTCTTCAGCCTCTTATAGAACATTATTATGTGCAAGGATATAGTCAAAGCTTCCTTGAAACTTCAATATGTTAAATATATTTTCATACATTATTTCTGTATGACTTCCCTGTAAAAAGGGCAATTTCCATAAGGGCATAGATTTTTGTCTGTTCAACGTATTACCAAGGTACAGAATAATTAGAATATAGTAGACTCTTGATAAGTGTTTGCTAATAGTATGTAGTTTTTATTATAATAGTTGATAAAAATTTTCCTCAATTTCAAGACCTTTAAAAAAAAATCTTGGGGCTGAGGAGATGGCTCAGTGGTTAAGAGCAGTGACTGCTCTTCCAGAGGACCTGGGTTCAATTCCCAGTACCCACATGGCAGTTCACACCTGTCTGTAACTCCAAGATCAGACACCTTCACACAGACATACATGCAGGCAAAACACTGATGAACGTAAAATAAAAATAAACCATCAAAAAAAACTCTCTTCTGAATTCCTAAGGCATAATGTATCTTTTTAGTAAGACCTGTCCCCTTTCTTTATCCTGTATTTACAGTGAGCGAGGCAAATCCACTAAAAGCCAGAGTCATACCATCCCCCTGTTGAGGCTGTTGTGGGAATCAAATAAAGCACGTCGTTCTTTTTGTTCCCTTTACAGTTTAAATTAATTCACTTACTCATTAACTTACTTGTGTGAGTGTGGGCATGCATGTGCCACAGTGTGCATGTAGAGTTCAGAGGACAATCTGCACATGTCAGGCTTTTCCTTCTGCTATGCTGGTCCTAGAGACTGAGTTCGGGTTATAACAAAAATCTGAAAACCTTATTCAATTAAAAATATGTATAATAAAAATCCTTTTCACTTTTATTGATGAAATTGGCAATAAATAAAAAGAAGTAATTTAGGACCCACAGGCTAGTCTCAATCAATCAAAGCAATAGTGGCCGAGAAAGACGACGGACCAGCCTACTTCATTTTAAGATTAAAATCCATCTTGTGACAAGGTCAAAATAAGCTCATGCCTGTTTTCTGTAAAACTTGGATTTGACCAGGTCTAGGCCCATTTTCTGGAATTTGACATGTTCCATACCTTACACCCTAATCTCCACCCTAAGACGTTCTGCCCAATAATTCTGAAATGCTCTGCCAAGTGCCTATGTAACCAAAGCCCCTTGGACATTCCCTAGCCTTGTAGTTTCTGGGCTATATGAGCCCCACTTTTTCCTGTTTAGTGTTATTTTCTCAAACCCCACCTTAGGGAGATAGCCCTGTCTGACAGAAAATAAAGCTTGTCTCCTTTGACCAAAGAATTTGGTGGGGTTAATAAAGAACCCACACCCACATCTGCCTCCTTCAGAGACCAAGCCTCCTGAGTCTCCTCGAATCGGGCGGAAATCTTTGTACCGGAGCTACTCTGATAACTAGTCATGCCAAGTCTGCCATTGCTACTCAGCATTGGAAATTTCCTAGTTACTCAAGCAGCAAATGTGTGCGTATGTGCATGCATGTATGTGGGTGTGCATGTGTGAGTGTGTGTGTCTGTGAAGAGCAAGCAAGGTTTTACTGACAGCTCCCTGAAGCAGGGAGACGTCCTGAGAATGGGCTGCTTGTAGACACGCTTTCATAAAAGCAGAGACTGATTAGAATTTGAACTTCTAAACTCCTGCCTCCATCTCTAGAGTGCTGGCATTACAACCATGTGTCACCACACTCAGTTTTCAGGGTTCTCAGGCATGCTAGGCAAGCAGTCTACCAACTGAACTATATAGACCCCCGCCCCCCAGCCTCATTTAAAGCGTTTCTTTATGAAATCTGGTTTCGTAAGAACAATTGTTTGAGAAGTCTTTAAAATATCGGCTATACTTTTCCAAGTGTAGTAATTATCTACAGTTTGGAATAATCATTAGCTTCTAAAATCTCAAAGCAGTAGAGTAATAAATCACAACAGAAAGCTATGCAGGAAAGGAACCTTCTCTTCATCTGGTTGGGAGTAAAAAGCATGTAAAAGAATGACCTCTGTACTCTCTCAGTAAACTTGGCGGTTGCAATGGCCTTTGATCACAGAACCAACAGTCAATCTGCCCTGAATTTCTTCTGATAAAACTGTTATGTCTGAGCAGGCATTCTGGCATTTTGTGAAACTGTAATTATTAAGGATTATAGTTAGCATTTTATCTTGTGGGATCAATTAGAGACAAGGAGCCCTTCTACTAACTTTACTGAACCAATCAAAAGACTAGAGGTTGCCCAATCAATTCTGACTGCAGCCATGAAGGAAGTGCTTCCAAGACAATTAGGACTGGGTCTTTTAAGAGAGCAAGAAGAACATTCTTCACGTTTTGTTAGCCAAGCAGAAAACCCAGAGAGAAAAGAGCAATAAAGACCAAAAATGGATGGGAAGATGGAGATTTATGCTGTAATCTAGGTATGTAGTTTAATTATTTCCCAAAACTAACTACATTTAAGGTGGCCTATTCTGAAAATAATTGTTTAATATTAGGCAGTTTTTACTGTATACAAGTAGTTCATAAACTGATTATCAGTCAGAGAATGAGGAAAGAAAAAATTATTTTGTGTTTCCTTCATAATGTGAGACACAGGCTTCTGAAAAATGAAATAATACTAAGTAGATTTCATTTGCATATATTGAGCAAAACAAGAGACAGAAAGGGTACATATCATATAATTCACTTATAGGGCAACATAAACAGGCATTGTGATCTTGAAACCAGAGGAATGGTTTCTTATGGAAGTGGGGGTTCACTACAGCAGGGTACAAGGGAATTGCCTGGAGCACTGAACATGTGTTATATCTTTTGTCTGTGTGTGTGTGTGTGTGTGTGTGTGTGTGCATGCGACAGAGCCATGCGGAGGTCAGAGGACAGCTCTGGGTTTGTCTTTACTTGTCACGTTGTTGGATACAGGGTCTCGTTTGCTGCTGCATGTAGCAGGCTAGCTGGCTCATGAGCTGTAGCAATACTGGGATCCAGTGCATCTGGACTTTTCATGTGTTCTAGGGATTCAAACTTCGGGCCTCCTGCTGTGCAGTAAGCAGTTCACCCATTAGGCCATCTTCCCCACCCTCCTTTTGATTTTCCAGACAAGCTTTGCCTAACCAGGTTGGCTTCAAACTTACTGTGAAGTGGAGGACCTTGAACTACTGATCCTCCCGAGTATAAATTTTAAAAGATAATAAAATGTTCTATATATCGACCAAGTTTTTAGGTTATACTGGTGGCCATCTTTGCCAAAACTTAATTGTAGATCTGTACAACTCACTGGACATAAATTTTATCTGATTAAGAACATACACCAGTCTCTATATTAAGGAGTGGGGGAGGTGGGTCAGCTTAACAGAAGTCACAGTCATCTGGAAAAAGGGAACTTCAATCAAGAAAATGCCTCCATAAGATGGACCCATAGGGTAGTTAAGAACATTTGTTGCTCCTTCAGAAGGTCCAGGTTTGATTACCAACATCTACATGGCAGCTTGCAACCATATGTAACTCCAGTTTCAGGGGATTAGTTGCCCTTTTCTGGCCCCTGCAGGCACTATACACATGTGGTGCACAGACACATGAAGGCAAAATAATACACACTTAAATAAGTAATAAAAAAATTAAATAGAAAAATTTTACAATTCAGCTCTGGCTGGCAGTGTACAGAATTCTAGGTGCTAGTTAAAATATAAAGGCAAATTGAAACTAACAGTCAACATGAATTAGACATATAGGTGAAAACTATAGTCTATCCACCTACAAAGCTATAAATGTAAAGAACAAATACAGCATACCGCCTTTGTTTTGGATTCAGGGGGTAAAGGCTGTTGTTTAGTGGAGAACACACTATAGTATTTATGAGGTTCTGGGTCTGGTTCGTAACACCAGGAAAACTAATTTCAGGGGATCTGATATCCAATGCCCTCCTCTGACCTCCATAGATACCAGGCATGCATATGGCGCACATATATATAGAGGCCAACTACTCACACACACAACATAAAATAAATCTAACAACGACAACAAAACAGGTTGTGGTGGGTGTGGTGCTACACATCTGTAATCCTAGACTTGTGGAGGTGAAATAGGAACACTGTTCACCAGTTCCAGGCCAGAGAGGCTACAAAGAAAGTTAAAGCAAACACCATGACTTACTAACCCTTCCTTTCTAACCCTTAAGGATCTTGTGAGTTGCTGAAATTTGATGAAGTAGGTCTACGGGGTCTTGGCATGTACATTTTCCTTGACAAAGTTCACCCATGGTTTTGACACATTCAAAATGCTTTTGTCATTTCTTGTGCACATTTTAACCTTTTTTTCACTTTCTTTTGAGATAGGGTCTCACTGTATAGATCAAGATGTCCTTGAACTCACAGAGCACCACCTGTTTCTGCCTTCTGAGTGTTGGGATTAAAGGTACACTATACTCAGCTAACATTTAAATTTTCTTCTCTTTCTTGAGACAGGGTTTCTCTGTGTAACAGCCCTAGCTGTCCTGGAACTCTTTCTGTAGACCAGGCTGGCCTTGAACTCACAGAGATCCGCCTGCCTCTGCCTCCCGAGTGCTGGGATCAAAGGCCACTGCCCAGCACATTTAAATCTTTTAAACAGCATTAAAACAATAGCAGCAACAACAAAATAAACTCATATAATCCCACCAAAACAATGTCTTTAATTTTTCATATATTTATTTTATTTTGAACTCACAGAAATCCACCTGCCTCTGCCTCCTGAGTGCTGGGATTAAAGGTATGAGCTACCATGCCTGGTCTTTTCAGATTTTTAAAAAGACTTATTTATTTATATTTTATGTGTTTGAATGTTTTGCCTGTATGTATGTCTGTGTATCACATGTGTGCTTGGTGCCCCTGGAGTCCAGCAGAGGGCATCAGATATTCTGGGACTTGAGTTTCAAATGGTTGTGAGCCACCACGTGGGTGCTAAGAATCAAATGCAGGTCCTCTGGAGTATGGCCGGTCCTCTTAACTGCTGGGCCATCTCTGCAGCCCAACATTTCTGATATTAAAGTTAATTATCTTTAACAATTTACTTTTAACAAATGCACTTCTTTAGGGGAGAACTTACTTAAATTACATGAAAGATGGGTTTGTAATTGACTTAGAAACTCTTAAGGGGAGACAATTTGGGAAAGTGAATCTATAACTCAACAGTATTCTTTTGAGTAGTGGAATTATAAGTAACTAAAGTATGCTTTTCTACATTCTATATTCTTTGTCTCATGTATAGGACTCATTTAACAGGAGAGATTGACGTGTTCTGCTAAAGTTGTAAGTTGTAGGTATTATTACCGCTATGTCAAATGTGAGATCTTTTGGAGCAAAGCTACAGCTGACAAAAATGTACTCTTTAGGTTGGCCAGTTAGATGTGAGTTTTTCATTCTTTTTTTTAGACAGGGTCTTACAATGTAGCTCTGGTCATCCTGGAGCTTGTTATATAGACCAGGCTGGCCTGGAACCCACAGAGATGCTCCTCCCTCTACCTCTAAAGTGCTGGGATTAAAGGTATGTGTCATTACTACAGTTTAAAATAGAGTTAAAAAAAATGTGTGTATGTCTGTGTGTGGGTAAGTATACATGATCCATGCTTTAGATACCTTTGTCCTGTAAAATCTGCATGCTTAATGGCATGGCAGATGGTCCCTTTAAACTTTATGACATTCATGATCCTGTTATGTGAAAACCTTTCATGTATGTATATATGTATGCATGCATGCATGCGCTTGTTATGTGCCTATACTACTGATCTGTGCTTCTAACACAATACTTTAACCAGCCACATCCTTCCAACCCTAAGTGCTCCGATCACTGTGCAAAAGCAGACGCAAACTTCGTGGCTCCCACATGTAAACTGTGAACCAGAAGAGAGGAGACCACACAAAGCGTGCATCTTCACTCATGGAAAACTACTCCAAGTACTTACTATCTGTATCTACTTGTTTTGTTTTGTTTTTGTTTTTTGAGACAGGGTTTCTCTGTGTAGCCCTGGCTATCCTGGAACTCACTCTGTAGACCAGGCTGCCCTTGAACTCACAGAGATCCATCTGTCTCTGCCTCCCAAGTGCTGGGATTAAAGGCATATGCCACCATTCTCCGGCTTCTATTTTTCTCTTTTTAAAGGAAATTTTCATGTTGTATGTGATGGGCATTGAGACTGAATATTGATGTTTTGTTTCAAGTTGTTTTTAACATTTTCTCCGAACAATATTCAGATCTGTGGCAAAGGCAAAAGTAAAAAAGTTATGTACATAATGTAGAGAGCAAAGGAATTTAGACATGAGTAATTTATCTTCACCTGATTGTGAGACTCAAGGCCTGGGAAATGCAGCTTACCACATAAAGAATTTCACCACAAGAAATCAATCATTTCAAAGCTGGTAAAATTTAAGTATGAATTCTACCTTTTTTTTCCTTTTAAACAGAAACTATAGGTAGGTCAATAGGGTAAAAAAAAACCTTTAGTATCAATTGGACTATGCTTACCTTACAGCTTTGAAAACTCTGATTTCTTGTGTGTTGCAGTGGTGAGCTGCATTTCCTGCTGTCGGCGGACTTCCCAGCAGGAGTTCTAGTCTGATGGAGAAGCAGCCAAAGGAAGTCCTCACTGAGAGACACACTGGTGTCATTCACTGAGTGGAAACAGTGCAAGAGTAATGTATTTCTAAGGGGATTTACATTATTAACACATGTGCTTTCATAGCAACTTACAGACACACATATTTACCTTTCCATGGTGGAAGGAATAAGTCATTATCCTTAAAAACCTGACTTTTTCTATAAAGCATTTGGTTTTACCCTACTATCCTATCTCTGGAACACTGTTCACAAATGCATCATCGCCTTCCTACACACAGAACCAAACAGTGTCAAGTCTTAACTGAGCAATTGTGATGCAGCTGTTCCAGCAGCGTCTCTAGAAAAAAAAAGAAACCTTCATAGTCTTTCGCATGACCTTTATCAACTGAGTCGGCCACTTCTCATAGCGACAGACATCTGGAAATTTTGTCCAACCTACTTTGAAGTAATTCTGTTAAACAAAATTTTCAAGTGAACAGTTAACATTTTAAATAGAAACAAAAGGTCAACAGAAAATAGTTTTAGAAACTATGACTTAGAAGTTTTGTTTAAAAATTCTTGAAATATGAAGCTAGAGATGGGTCAGTGGTTAAAAGTACCGGCTGCTTTTTCAGAGGTCCGAGTTCAGTCCCCAGCACCAACATGGCAGCTTACAACAATCTCTAACTGCAGTTACAAAGGATACAATGCCCTCTTCTGGCTTCTAAGGGCAATAGGTATATATGTGGTATACAGATATACATGAAGGCGAAATACTCATACCTATAAAAAGAATTCTGAAATATATACTTCTTACTGGTTATTCTGAATTATAGTTCATTGCATTTATTGTTCTAGATTGAATGTCAATATAGTACCAGTAGCTCTATAGACTCATCTAAACTTAATTAAAATAAGATTAAAACTTTAATTCCTCAGTCACATTAACAATACTATCAGTTAATAATCCTGACACACTACTACTGGGAAAAAATTTTAATGCATAGCATTATTCTAGACAGAGCATGTAACAGAAGTGGTTGTTACAGTCAAAGGCCTTACCTGGTCTGAGGAGGTGTGGATGTGTAACTGGGCTGGGCTGGCCTAAGTACCGGTTTGGAATCTTCTTCAGCACAGGCTGAAGGGAGTACCTTCGCTGTAAACATGACATGCATCCTGAAGAAAAAAACAAAGGATGCAATGGAACATCTTCACAACATGCACACTATTCCCAGTGTATTTGGATCCTTACAAAATACACATCAGCATTTCTTTCCTCCTCCTTCCAATATGTTCGTGGCTCTTTCTCTATGCAGAGCCTGTATTGGACCCTAAGAAACACAAGTTAAGATCTTTACTCCCAGAGACTTGTCTGCTAGAGCAGAACGAACACACACACAACACAGTATGAGTAAGGGGCTATGAGGAGGAGAGAGAGGAGGATGGAGTAAAAGCAAACAGGGTCAGAAAGGAGTTGGGGGGGGGTTGCCCAAGGCTATGCTCTAAAATTTGGAAAAACAGAATCAACATTTTTTTTTTTTTTTTTTTGGTTTTTTCGAGACAGGCAACATTTTAATTGAGACTACGTTAGCTATAAGAAAACAAGTACTTACTATTTCATTTACTCTTGGAATGTTAGTCTGATAAAAATAATCTAGGAAAAAATGCTTAGCCATAGCTAACATATAATGTGAGCATGGTTAGCATTAATTTAACCATTTTATTTAGGACATCACCAGAACACATGCTAAGCAAGACATAAGAGTAAGATTGTTTGCCCTCGTAGTCAAAATGAAGCATGATGGAGATGAGGCAAGACAGAACATTACAATACTATACAAAGAGCTAGATTCATAAACACAGCAACTGTCATATATTAAGATGGGTCCAGTCACAAGGAGAGGCACATGGAGTTGTTCATAAAACATATTTGTGTGACTGCAGAAGGTGAGGACTACTCCGAACAGCAATCACTCAAGATACCTCCCCTGAAGGGGAGAAGTGAAAAGCGCTTCATGACGTCATTACAGCAGGCACCATGCGTGCAAATGTGCTTGGATGTAGAGGAGGAGGGAGGCAGAGAGAACACATGAGAACGAACTAGTGCAACAACAGGCTACTCCACTAGCAGACCTTTGAAAGCTTTACACGGTTTAACCTGGCACTTGGCAGGCAGAGGCAGAGACAGGTGAATCTCTAAGTTGGAGGTCAGATTGGTCTATATCGTGTGGTCTAGGACAGCCATTGCTACATAGTGAGACTGTGTCTCAAAAAAACCCAAACAAATGAGTTGTCAGAATCAGACAGAATAACAATTTATATAAATTCATACAGCATTGGATAAAATGAGATTCAAATTTAGGATTATTTAAATTCAAAATCTTTGGACTCAGTCTTCCATCCAGCCTCAATACAGATCTTATTTAATCCCAATGACACAATCAGTACTGTAAACTCTTGGACATACAATCAGTTCAAAAGGGGAGTATCATAAATCAGATTAGGAATAATTGTAGAGCCTGGGAAGCATTAACAATGGCATGTATTTGAGAGTTAGGAGTCTGTGTGTGGTGGATATGTGAGTTGTGGGTATATGTGTGGAAGCCAGAGCTTTATGACAACTGCCCCCCACCGCCCAGCTGAGGACCGAACCCAGCAAGCGCTCTGCCACTGAGCTAAAAACCAACCTCGACAAATGTCTTAAGTTGCTCTTCCCTGCATTTTTAGAGACAAAGATTCACTAATCCTGGCGCTCACCAATTTGGCTAGACTGGCTGGCCAGTAAGCTTCAAGGACCTCTATTCCTGGCTCCATGCTAGGGTTCAGACACACAGCAACACACTGCAGATGTGCAGGCATGCTCACTCCTGATCTTCGATCCCGACCTTCAGAACTGAGAGAAAACAAACTTCTGTTGCTCTAAGCTGCCAAGTTTATAGTATTAGTTGTGGCAGGCTCGGGGACTAATGCAATGACTTGCTAAGCTTTCAAGGCACTGACTGAGAACTGGCTGAACTCACTACAAGTCTGTCTCTGTTCTTAAATCAGGTCCAGGTAGAAAAAGAGCAGGCATTGAACAATCCTTAATTTTTTTTTTAAAAAAAATAAACTTTATTATAAAGAATTTACAAATAAAAAAATCACATTTCAAAACGAACCAGACCTAAAGTCTATACATGTCAATGAACTTCTATACAGTTGGAGTAGCCATTTGGAATTGGAAGTTGTGGAGTTTTACATTGTATTTTATATTTTTACTACCAAATACTTTTATGCACTTACCCACCACCCAAAATGAAAAATAACCTGAGTCAGAACCAGAAAAAGAACTTTACAGCCTCTTTTGTAACTTGCAACTTTAATATTTTTAGAAATTTATCCCTACCCAGCTGGGCGATGGTGGCACACACCTTTAGTTCCAGCACTAGGGAGGCAGAGGCAGGTAGATCTCTGTGAGTTGGAGGCCAGTTTGCTCTACAGAGCGATTTCCAGGACAGGCTCCAAAGCTACACAGAGAAACCATGTCTCAAAAAAACCAAAAAAAAAAAAAAAAAAAAGAAAAGAAAAGAAAAAAATCTTTTTACCCCTATCCTAACTTTTTTTGAGACAGGGTTTCTCTGTCTACCTCTGGTTGTCCTGGAACTTGCTTTGTAGACTAGGCTGGCCTCAAACTCACAGAAATCCACCTGCCTCTGCCTCCCTAGTGCCTGGCCTAAATACAGGTCTTAAAACCTCCAGAGAAATAACCTTCTCCAGAGCAGAGCAGTGTTTGCCTCTTACATTATTTCTAGAAAGAGGACGCAGCAGAGGATGACTGATAGTAAGAGCATGCTAATGGGGTACAAAGGAATGGAGTGGTACAAGGAAAAGGAATAAAATTACACGTCTGAGGCTGAGCTGGGTGGTGGAGGCTGTTAATCCCAGCACTAGGGAGACAGAGGCAGGCAGATCTCTGAGTTCGAGGCCAGCCTGGCCTACAGAGTGAATTCCAGTACAGCCAGGGTCACACAGAGAAACCCTGTCTCGAAAAAAACAAACAGAAGCCAAGACAGACAAACAAAAGAAGTCTGAGGCTGGGCTATAACTCAGAGGTATAGTACTTAACATTCACATGCTGGGCTCTGGGTCAATCCCCAGGACTGTCAAACAGACAAAACTCTAAGGCCATCTCCCTACAAGTTTCTAATAAACAATGTGAAATAGCCCTCTGCCCTGTTCATCACATTCTTCTCATTTGTTTTTGAGAACATATCACATTTTCTCAAGCTGTTTTATGCATTTTTGTTGTTGTTTTGAGACATGGTCTCTTTACATAGCCCTGGTTGTCCTGGACCTCATTATGTAGACTAGACTGACCTCAAACTCACAGAGATCCTGCTGCCTCTGCCTCCCGAGAGCTGGGATTAAAGGTGTGCACCACCGGAGCATGGCCAGTTATTTTATACATTCTGTATAATCTTTTTTTGTTTGTTTGTTTGTTTTTTGTTTTTCGAGACAGGGTTTCTCTGTGTAGCTTTGCGCCTTTCCTGGAACTTGCTTTGGAGACCAGGCTGGCCTCGAACTCAGAGATCTGCCAGGCTCTACCTCCTGAGTGCTGGGATTAAAGGAGTGTGCCACCACTGCCTGGCTTTTTTTTTTTTTTTTTTTTTTTTTTGACATTCTGTAAAATCTTGTTACTTAGTTTCCTCTGTAACTTAGGCTGGCCTGGAACTCTCCTTAGTCGCCGTATCTCAGCCTTCTACATTGGGTTTACTGGCATGAACTACCTTACCCATTCTGCATCTCATTACAATTGAAAATTACTACTTTTGTTCAATATGGCTATCAGCAGAAGCTAAAACTACCTGGCACAAAGTAGCCATTATATACTGAATACATAAACGCACAGCTTCCACAAGTTTTATTCACTTTTCTTTTTTCTTCTGGCAAACAGTCACATTACATAGCATGGGCTTCGAGATTTTTACTCGTGTTTTTATACTAAGACTCACTGCTGGCAGAAAGCTTCAATGGAAGGCTAATTCCAGCAAGTCTTCTCTGAGACCATAGCCCAGGGTGCCTCTTACACAACCAGTGTATCTATTTGGTGTATCTTCCATCATAGTTTTTATTACAATTAAATTATTTATATCTTCTATTGAATGCATGTCTTTAGAATAAATTTCTCAATTGCTTGAGTGTCCCTCCACCCAAAGTCTTCTAAGTCTTTATTTTTCTAAATCAAAACATAGAAGCTGGGTTGTGGTATCACATGCCTTTCATCCCAGCACTCGGGAGGCAGTAGCAGGTAGATCTCTAAGTTCGAGGCCAGCCTGGTCTACAGAGGAAATGAGTTCCAGGATAGCCAGGGCTACACAAAGAAACCCTGTCTCGGAAAAAAACAAAACAAAACAACCAACCAATGAACCAGCAAAATCCAGAACTGTGCAATAATTAAGGGCCAGTAATCTGGAAGTCAGAATACACAGGAGGGATGCTGTGGCTATTAGCCCGGATCGCACTGAGGCACTACCCAAAGCTTCCAGGAAGATATGGGAGAAATAGCAGAGGCGGCTGAGCACAGAATGACTCTGGGGAAGTTGCATTTGGAAGAGCCAATCCCTACTCTACCTCAGTATGACACCACAATGCAGCTCTGACATGTGCTGCCCCCCTGCTGACCACATAATCAGATGTCAGCAGTGACCCACAGCACTAGCACTACCTTCAATGTAAAAATGTGCCTGTTTGCAGTCACTTCTACCACCAGCAGCAGCAGCGGAGCCTGAGCTGCAAGGAAAACAGTGCTCACTATCAAAGGTGTTTGTTCCCAATACTCTGTCAAACCATGGTGGACTACTATGAAGTTCTAGGAGTGCAGAGATACGCTTCACCAGAGGACATAAAAAGAGCTTACCGAAAAGTGGCACTTAAATGGCATCCTGATAAAAATCCAGAGAATAAAGAGGAAGCAGAGCGAAAATTCAAAGAAGTCGCCGAGGCATATGAAGTATTATCAAATAGTGAAAAACGGAACGTTTATGATAAATATGGCAAGGAGGGATTAAACGGCGGAGGTGGAAGTCATCTTGATGACGAATGTGAGTATGGTTTCACATTCCGTAAGGCAGATGATGTCTTTAAAGAAATTTTTGGTGAAAGGGACCCATTTTCATTTCACTTCTTTGAAGACTCACTGGAGGACCTTTTGAGCAGTTCAAGAAGCTCCAACAGAAGCAGAAACAGAGGCACAGGATCCCTTTTCTCCCATTCCTGTGACCACCCAGTGTTTACTAGGCTTTCTCCTTATGACACAGGATATATGTCTTACGTTTCACTGGGGCATGAGGGTCTTACTTCATTCTCTTCCCTGGCATTTGATGATACCGAGATGGGCAATTACATACCTATTACCCCTTCAGGCAAAACTGTTAATGGAAGAAGAATCAACTCAAAGAAAATTTTTGAGTACCATCAAGATATAGAAGCTGAAGATGACGAGTTGAAATCCTTTCTTGTAAACAGTGTGGCAGAAGAAGAGGGCTTTGCAGAAAAATGGAACTGGAGAAGACAGTCATTCAACAATTATTCACCAAATTCCCACAGCCCCCCAAATATATCTCCATATACTCTCGTGGACAACAATGAACAAGGTACACCTTGGGTCACCAGCAAGAAGGATCCTTCCATTTTCTCAGCAGGATTCAAAGAAGGTGGTAGGAGGAAAAAAAAGCACAAAGAGGGGCAGAAGAAGAGGTCAAATAAAAGGAATCGCTAATTCACTCTTTAGACACATGATGATCATAGAGCATCTGAACGCCACTCTTCTGTGTGTCTTGGTTAATCAGAGCTTTTTTTTTTTGTTGTTGTTTTTTGAGACAGGGTTTCTCTGTGTAGCTTTGCGCCTTTCCTGGAACTCACTCTGTAGCCCAGGTTATCCTCTAACTCACAGAGATCTGCCTACCTCTGCCTCCTGAGTGCTAGGATTAAAGGCGTGCACTACCACCGCCCAGCCTTTATTCAGAGTTTTAGAGATAACATCTGTTAATACTATGTGGGTTGTGTGTGTGTGTGTGTGTGTGTGTGTGTGTGTGTGTGTGTGTGTGTATGTGTTTTTGAGATGGGGTCTCAACTATGTACTCTAGGCTGGCCTCAAACTCACAGAGACTTGCCTATCTTTGCCTCAGTTGCTGAGATTGAAGGTGTGCACTACTGTGCATGGCTTAAAAAAATTTTTTTTTTTTTAAAACAAGATTGTGGACATTTGGTCAGTAGTTGTGTGAATAGGTTAGGTCAGAAAAAGGTGAATTTGTGTAATAGTGATTTTAAAACCATAGAAAACTGCAAAGTTTTTTTTTAATGTTTTACTTTTGAGTGGTTTGAGCATAGAATTTTTTTTTCTGGTGAAGTTTATGACCTATTTAATTTCTTTAATTAATATCATCACAAATTCCTGGTAAATGCACACAGCATTAGGAGATAAAAATCTATTAAGAAACACAGGTTCAGACTATAACAAGTATTTGAAGGTTGAAGTAACTAGACATATTTGCACAAAGATGTTCACAGTAGTTCTAATTCACAGTATCCAAGAGGTAGAAGCAACCCAAACGATCATCAAGAGCCCAGGACATTAACAAAAATTGATGAGTAGTCACACTTGTGAGCCTGCGCGTGCACGCGCGCGCGCACGCACACACACACACACATATACACACACACACACACACACACACACACACACACACACACACACACACACACACGAGAGAGGAGGAAAAAAAGGCCTGGCATACTGCCTGCTTAGTTGTTTGCTGAGGGCAGTTTTAACTGAAAAATCTTGTCATTTGCTACAACATAGATGAGCTAAAGAATACCAAAATAGAATACTAAAATCTTAAGATGCTAAGTGAAATAAGCCAGTCACTCAGACAAATACTGAGTGATTAATGTTAAGACAGTATCTAAAGCAGTCTAATTGAGACAGGAAGTGGAAAAGAGGCTGTTTTGTGTGTATAGAGTTTCAGGCCTGCAAAATAAAACATTCTGAAAAGCCACTTCCCAATAATGTGAATATACTAATACCAATGAACTGCACATTTAAAAAAATGTCTAATATGGTAAACTAAATTTAATGTGCATTATACCACAACTTTAAAAAAAAGTGAGTATTCCCCAAGATTCCTTGGAACAACCTTGCCATATCATGAGCTGCAGGCCACCAGGCACTCTCTCCAGATATGAAACTTTTTAGTTTTATCGTGTCTGTATGTAGGAGCTACAAATGCATTACTGTAAAATATTTATAGTCATTTCATTTAAGGATCATGTTGGGAGAAAAAATGGTGAGTTACAAATACATTAGAAACCAAACAAATGGTTTGAGCTAAATATTTTATTTAAATTTGCTTCTTTTAAAAATAAATCACCTTTTACTGTAACACTGTTACATCTTAGCTTTCTACAATGCTTTCATCTTCATTACACTGCTTCTCTCATTCATTTAACATTACTATTGGGGGCCCTCTACTTGCGAAGCAGTGTCAGCTATTTGAGGTACACAGTGCTAAGCAAACCTTAGCCACCGAGTCTACAAACTGGAGACAGATAATAAGTCAAACAGGATCTGCTAGCTTTTTTAGTTGCTTACTTCAAGAGATGGAGCAAAGAAACTTCGGAGTATAGGATTATAGTTTTCCCATGTGAGTATTTGGTGAGATACTTCCAGACACTGGGACAAGCAAGGTGCCACATTCCTGATGCAGGCTGCACGAGAGGAACTTGAGGAGCACTAGATCAGTGCCGCAGGCTAAGGATGGCAAATGGATGAAGCCAAAACCCTGAAAGGAAGCAGACTTCTTCAGGAGCTGCTAGGTCACCACATGCATGTTAACTGTTACATGGGAGAAACTAAGCCATAGAAGATTTTGAGGAGAGGGATAACATATGTAAATTGAACTTCTCTGTTGATGCCAAAAGACTCAAACAAGCAAAGGTAGAAAAAGAAGTTAAAATATTGCCACAATCCATTTAAGGGATTATAATAGTTTGGTCCAAGGTGGTGGCAATGGGGGGTGTGTGAGTAAAAGTGTTAACATTAGGATACATTGAAAAGGTAGAGCCAACAGGATATGCTCACAGGGTATGACAGGAGTTGAGACCAACAGTTTTTGGAACACAGGAAACAGAAGAATGGAACTGTCTTAAGTGAGACAGGAGCCCAGAGGCTAAGTTTTGGATATGCTACATGAAGAGATGCTCAACTTTTTTTTTTTCCCTCGAGACAGGTTTTCTCTGTGTAGCTTTGCGCCTTTCCTGGAACTCACTTTGTAGACCAGGCTGGCCTCGAACTCACAGAGATCCTCCTGCCTCTGCCTCCAGTGCTGGGACTAAAAGAGTGCACCACCACCCCGCCTGAGATGCTCGACTTTACTAAGAACTGAAAACAATTCGTTGCATGACTTTTGTGCTTAAATAATCTGTCATTAAAATCTTCCTTTATAACATTTACTGGTCATATATATCCTGTTTTTCTTTTGTATTTTAGAAATGTAATTATCATAAATTCTAGGCATTTTGAAGCTGCTAGTCCCAAATTTTTGTAAATTACTATATTAAAGGGTGCAAGGAAATCATCCAGTAACACTAAAACCTATCACCTTTTTCAAATACTAAATTGAAAGCCAGAAACAACTATAAACTACTATATGTGTATATATTATATATAACTATATATATATTAACTGCACACATATATAGTTTTTGTTTCTCAATACATGGGTTTCTTTGTGTAGCCCTGGCTGTCCTCAGCCTTGAACTCAAGAGATCCACCTTACTCTGCCTCCCAGGTGTGGGATCAAAGGTGTGAGCCGCCGCCGATGCTGCCGCCACCACCGCCACCACCACCACCACCACCACCACCACCACCGGGCAAAACTACTATTTTTAAATAACTACCATAGCAAATGTGAACTTTTGTATCATCTGATTCTCAGTGGAAAGGAAAGGTAATTTATCCTTTAGGAGAAACTGGGGACAATTAGCATCCAAAGTTATTTTCAGAAAATAAAATCATAAAAGCTTAGGGTATTTTAAATGCTATCTACATAAAATGTGTCATTTAGTAAGATTAACCGGTCTCCATTCAGGATTAAAGTTGGAAAAAAGAAAATTCATTTCCAGAACCAAAACCAAACATCTCAAACCGTAATGATATGTCCTCCAATTCATCTCTCCTTTTTGAGCTTGATTTCATGTAGTTTAGGCCTTAATTGTGGTTCCTCATCGGTAAACTGAAGAGTCAATGAAACATTAATTAATAAGATGCTGAACTTGCTGGGCGGTGGTGGCACACGCCTTTAATCCCAGCACTCGGGAGGCAGAGGCCGGCGGATCTCTGTGAGTTCGAGGCCAGCCTGGGCTACCAAGTGAGTTCCAGGAAAGGCGCAAAGCTACACAGAGAAACCCTGTCTCAAACCAAAAAAAAAAAAAAAAAAAAAAAAAAAAAGATGCTGAACTTTCTTTGCTTAAAAGCAAACGGTAATAAATTTACGAGATTTTTATGTATTTTAGTCAGGATCTAGTCCTAAAGCTGGATCAAATCAGGATGTACACAAAGCTTCAAGAAAGTTATTAAAGATCAGTAGCAAAAAGCTGGTTCTAGTCTAGTCACAGGTCTCTGTGATTATAACTGATCACACATTTATTTTCATTCATTCCCATCAAAGGCACAACAACTACGAAGCTTAAAGAACAAGCTCGGTGCAATGGACAATTTTTTAATAGAAAGCTGATATAAAAAATTCATTTTCAGCGAACCCAAGTATCACACACAAGTGCCAAGACAACTTTTGATGTCAAATACCCTATTTTTTGGTTAACATTTTGCACACTCATCTAAAATATAACCCAATTAGATACCTTTGCTAGGTGGATGACTCATTATTCAGTATAAAATTTTATGTTAATCAGATTAATTGCTCACCATACTGTACACGGAGGGTTCATGTTCTCCGCGCTATCAGCCTGACTGTTCATATAAGACTTTTAGCCACGTCTCCCTTACCTCCACTACTTTGTAAACTGAACTGCACAAGACATTTGTTCCTAAACGTGTTTCTTCTACCTTTTGAGCTAGCACGCCCATGAAACCTTTGAAAACCGGAACGATTTTACGTTGCCCTAAAAGAAACAAACGCTACTTGACATGAAACACTTCAGCCAAGTATGAAGATAAAAGATACAAATTCCGAGTTCGAGTATCTTTGAGGACAGTCCCTCGGGGTTCCCCTCTCTTCAGTCATTTCGGCTTCCCAGAATATCAGAACCTAAAGCCCACTTTCCCAGAGCAGCCGGTCGAAAGAAAAATCCGTGGGGGCCCAGGAGCCGACCGGTCCAGAACCAGAGATCATCAATTTGTAGCTCTTTGGGCTGCTTTAGGCTTCTCCAAGGGAAGACCTGGAGGGGACACTGGCGGGAAAGACTCTAACCTGAGAGGCCGCGGAGCCTTGCTATAACGGGAACCAGCTTGGGGGTTGAGAGCAGGGAAGGCATGGCCAGCACCCACGCGTCAGGAAGAGAAAGTACAAGTAGCTGGTAAAGAATCCGCCAGCCCAGCCGCGTCGCCAGGAAACCAGCCAAGCGCCCTGCCCCTTCCGGTACCGAGGCGCCGCTGGCGGGCTTTCTTTCCGTGGCGGCGCAGAACAGTGACGTCACCAGGCTGGGTTTTGGCGCGCCGGCCCCCCCCCCCCAGGCTCCCCGCCCAACCCCCACAGGGCGTCTCGTTCGGCTTTCCTTCCACCTTCAGAGTATCCTATTCCAGGTGCCTCCCTGTCTCCCGCTCGAAAGCACACACGCGAGGTCCTTCATCTATCCCCCGGAGCTAGATCAGCGGGAAGAATACGCGCAAGAATGTTCGGGTCTAGACGCAGGCAATAGCACGGACAGCTACCCTTCTAGAAGGTTCTAGGCGGTGCACAAGTCCAGAGGCAGAGAGGGAGTGGGAATGAGCGAGCGAAGGACCGGGGTCACGAGGCCGTTGGGGGGGAGGAGCCAGCGGCCGGGGAGGTTCTAGTCTGTTCTGCCTCGCGGCAGCCGCCCCCTTCTACTCGGTCACGTTGAGCCGCGCCCGGGCCTGGCCTCGGGTCTCCACCGCCGCCCGCCGCCTCCTCCCGCCTCCCGCCTCCCGACCATGGATCCCCGCAAAGTGAGCGAGCTTCGGGCCTTCGTGAAGATGTGTAAGCAGGATCCGAGCGTCCTGCACACCGAGGAAATGCGTTTCCTGAGGGAGTGGGTGGAGAGGTGAGCCCTGGGCCCCGCGGACCGTTGGCGACGGGGAGAGGGCGAAGCTGGGCCCGAGCTGGCGTGGGGCGGAGGGGAGCGGGTCTCGGCCCTCGTGGTCCGCTCCCTAGGGGCTTTGAGAAGTTACCCGCGGATCAGGGCCTCTGGGTAATTTAGGAGTGGAAGTGCAGAGGGGAGAGCCTGGTTTCCCACAGTGAAGTCTCCGGGGGGGGGGGTGTGTTTTGGGGAGAAGTAAATGTGGAGGATTGTGGGGATTTGAGCACAGGAAATAATGCGCGAAACGAGACAAAGCATTTACAGAGGGGTTGTTTTTCTTTAAACTGGCGTCTTGTTTAAGTCGCTTTGACCCATATTTCGTTTTAAGTACGACCTTATAGTGGTTACTTACTTAATCACTTAAATTATGTCTACTGTACCTTAGAGGGATTTTAATTGCATGCAGTTGTGTTGGGAATCGTTCATATCCGCGTTAGTTGTAGCGCTGTCACTTCAGACTCTGTGGCAAAATGATTTTTCAAAGACCAGCGTGCTTGCAGGACTAACTAGAGAGTATTTCGCCTGCGTACGAGGAATTCCGTGAGTAGATAGTGTACCAGCTGCTGGGAAACAGTATTACTCGGGAATTGGTTTTTCCCTTTCGATGCTTTAGGCCCGTTGATAAGAGATTTTTAGGACAGGATTGAAGGGAATTTGGGGAAAAAAGAACAGAGTGCAGGCAAGCTGTAAATCTCTGCAGCTGCCAGGGAGAAGGCGGGGTGAAGATAGTTAAGTCATGGCTTCTGAAGTAGGGTCAGCAGTGGACGCTTACAAGCAGGAGTTGTAGAAATGGGGGAGAATCTTCAGGAAAAGTGAGAATTCAGCGTCAGGTCGAGCTTGTTAAAGACTTTAGTTAATATCCAAGGAAGAGATGGGGGAAAGGTGAAGTTATATTTTGTAATTAGAACCCCGAAAAAACAGGCTTAGCCGTGGAGGGAAGGACTGTGTGGAGGGAAGGACTTCTGGGCTTTACTTTGTTAATTATCTAATTGCTTTTGCATGTCTTTAGATGAATCAGCTTTTCTGAAAGGTGGTTTTCTGGCCAGGTGATTGACAGCCCAGTTGGGTTAACTTTTTAGGGGGAGCCTCAATAAATAATATGTGATTTTTTTTTTTTAAAGAATATTTATTTTTTGAGACAGGATCTCACCATGTAGCTCTGCATACTGAGAACTTGCTATGTAGACCAGACTGACCTCAAACTCACAAAGATCCGCCCGCCTCTACCCCCCGAGTGCTGGGATTCAAGGTGTGCGCCACCACTACCCGGCACGCAGCAAATATTCTTAATCACTGAGCAATCTCTCCAGCCCCAATATGTAATGTTTTGGGTGGTTTAGAATGTAGTGTCCTTCCAGGGACAGGAGGAACTCAGGTTCTGTTCCTTTGACCAGGAGGCAGTGGCTTTACTTAGGGAGCCTCACCACATCCCTGATACTCCCACCTAGGAAGGACCCTTTATATGATTAAAAATTGTTTTAGAAAGATGTTCTTATGTATTTTGCTTGCACTTTAGCAAGTGCACCACATGCCTTCTAGTGAAGCCAGAATAGGTGTCCAGTCCTTTGGAACTGTTGTCACAGACAGTTGTGAACTACCATGTGGGTGCTGGGAAATAAACCCAGGTTCTCTGAAAGAACAGCAAGTGCTCTCAACTGGTGAGCTATAATTTCTCCAGTCCTTATTTTAAATCCTACCAAAGGGCAAAGCTGATGCTTCTCTTTCAAGTATTAACAAAGAAGAGTTGGGGTCCAAGGCTGATTATGCGGGAAGAGGTCCGTTTTGAAGGGGCTTCAGCCCTTCTAATCCACTATCTGTATAGCGGAGTACAGGTGAGCTTGGTGGTGGTGGCACACTCCTTTAATCCCAGCAGGTAGAGAGGCAGGCGGATCTCTTGTGAGTTCGAGGCCTTCCTGGTCTACAGAGTGAGTTCCAGGACAGCCAGGGCTACACAGAGAAACCCTGTCTCAAGAAACCAAAGAGAGGGGGGTGGGGGAGGAGAGGACAGATGAATGGTACAAAATTTGTTTTGAGGATTACTTTCTAACGGTTTAGCAATCTACCTATTGGAGGGGAGGCTCCTCAGCTGACAAAAGGAGAGCTGCAAATCTTGTCCAGGAAGGGATTCTTTTAAAAATGACTTCTAGTGGGAAGCTTAGTGCAAGTTCCAGTATACCCCTCCCCAGAGGAAAAAAAAAAAAAAAAGAACCAACCTGCTAGCAGGGAATATTAAGTGGGAACAGTGGGGCAACGTGTTCCTGAGTTTCCAGTTCCTCTGGAGGTTGAGGCCTCAGCAGCCTGGCCAAACATAGCAGGACCCTGATTAAAGATGAAACCCACTCCCACCCCTCCAAAGAATAAAACAAACACTCACGCCAAAGTTGCATTTCAAGAGGGTGAATAGGTGCTGCTTTAAGACATGAGCAGTAAACTGGAGAAGTTTACAAGTTTTTACTTGTGTTAAATAAATAGAACTGTAAAAAATTATTGTAGTGACTTTATGAAAACAATGGAAGAGACTCCTATTTTGTAGGGCTAGTGGCGTACCTGTGGGACATGGCTTTGAACCCTGGTGCATACCCTTCAGCAATCCTGTTTTTTTTTTTTTTTTTTTTTTTTTTTATCTTTGCTTTCTCAAAAACAAAAAGTCCACAGGTTGCCATTAGATAATTGTTAGGACTAAGAATTGAAGACTGGGCCAGGCAGCCATGGCGCACACCTTTAATCACAGCACTCAGAGCAGGGCGGATCTCTGTGAGTTCCAGGCTAGCCTGGTCTACAGAGCGAGATCCAGGACAGGCACCAAAACTGTACAAAGAAACCCTGTCTCAAAAAATCAGGAAAAAAAAAAAAAAGAATTGAGGACTGGATTTTAGTGGTTTTCCCCTGATAAACAGCTTGTTAATCCTAAAGCTTAAGATATTTCTGTTCTTTGATCCACTGTATCTTGTAAAGAAGGGTCCCCAAATAAACAAATTGTTACTAAAATTCTAGGTGAAACAGACATTCCAAGGGAAGAATACTGAGGTTTTGTTTTCCCTCATTCCTCTTAGGGAGGAAGAGGGGACGATTAAAAAAAAAAAGTTAAAAACACTTTTTTTTGTTTGTTTTTTGTTTGTTTTTCAAGACAGGGTTTCTCTGTGTAGCCATGGCTGGCCCTGAACTCAGAGATCTGGCTGCCTCTGCCTCTCAAGTGCTGGGATTAAAGGTGTGTGCCACCACTGCTCAGTAACCAATGAATTCTTATATCAAATATAAAGTTAATCTGAACAATGGCAGCATTTACAGCAAACTGTTGGCAACATTTTATTTTATTTATTTATTTACTTTTTGAGGCAAGGTTTCTCTGTGTAACTTTGGTGCCTGTCCTGGCTGTTGCTCTATAGATCAGGCTGGCCTCGAACTCACAGAGATCCACCTGGCTCTTCCTCCCGAGTGCTGGGATTAAAGGCACTTAATGGTGGTGTTGCGCCACCACCGCCTGGCTGCAATATTTTAAATTTGAGTGGACACTGGCTATGTGGAAAAAGAGAACTCTGAAATGACTTCAACTCTATGTTAATTAATAATATGATTAATAATAATGTTCTTAATAACACAATAACAGGAATGTTAATATCATGAGTATTCCTGGATCTAGAAGTCTCTGTAGTTAGCCTAATTTGCAGTGGCTGACAAGGATGCAGAGGAGAAAGAAATAACACAAACTCAATTAAAATGATCCCATATGCAAAAATGGAAGTTCAGTGCTGGGGACTGAATCCAGAGGTTCCTAGGCCAAATACTCTGCCAGTTGTGCCACATGCCCACCCAACATAGCCTCAACTTAGATTGAATAAAGATAAGATGCTGGGTATGGGTGACACACATCTTTAATCCCAGCATCTGGGAGGTAGAGGCAGGTGAATCTCTTGAGTTAGAGGGTAGCTCCAGGCCAGCCAAGGCTAGTGAGACCTTGTCTCGAAAGAAAGAAAAAGAAAAAAAAAATTACGCAAAGAAATAGAACCAAATCTGAATTCACAGTAATACGTGTGAATCCAGGTAAACTGTTCTTTTAAACAAACACATTTTGGAGTACTTTTGTTCTACTCTTTATTGAGAGGGCACCATTGAATGACACCATGTTCTCCGATTTCATTACTCTTTCTTTGTGTCGTAGGCCTACTTTAATCATTGCACTTGGTGGTAATTAAGCCCTAGGAACACGACTTTGAGAAATATTTGAAAGTGGATAGAATGCATTTCTATCCTCAATACAGAATTTAGACTGTAACACTCTGGTGTTTGTACATGTGCTTAAATAATAACACAAAGCAGATTGAAGATTTTAACTCAAGAGAATTATGAAGAAGCTTTATATGATAATATTTGAGGAAGGTTTCTTCCCCTTCCTGTCTGATGAGTGATTAAAAAACAGTAACAACAATAAAACCTCTGTGCTGAAAAAGTCCAAATGTCGACTTTTTACAGAGGGCTAGCTTATTTTAAGTTTTGGAACATTGAGAACATTGATCACAATAATTTACATTTAAAATTGGTTCGGACTTGGAGTAGTGAACTACAATTTGGAATGTGAAAAACATGAGGTATAGCAGAAGTTCTCTTTAATTTTTTAATTTTGGAACAATTTCTGGTTCAAAATTGATTCCTGATAGTAGGCTGCCAACATGCTCAATCTCATTGAGTGTTTGTTTCCTACTAATGACAGTCTGTACAATGCAGCCATCCAAGTCAGACAACTAATAAGGATGAGTTAATACTATCCAACCGGTAGAATTAGAAGTGCATTCTGTTACCATGTTTCCTTTTCATTCTTAAAGTTTTCATTTTACCTTGCCTTTCATAATTTTGACAATTTGAGTATTACAAGCCAGATGTTTTAGCATTTCCTCCATTTGGATTTGTCTGAGCTTTTCTGAGAATGACATTTCTTGGCAGGGCTATTACTTCACAGAGTGAAACTGTTTGTAACTATGTTTGGATGTCAGCCTAGATTCCTGACATTGCAGTTTGGAATTTAGGAAAAACACAGCTTAAGAAGCCCTGTGTCTTCATTAAAATTTAACTTCAAAGAGCCAGTGTTTGGTTACTGTGTAACTTTCAAAAGTGTTTTTTTGCTTTGTCTTTTAATGTAGAAATGTTCGTAGTGTTATTAAATCATTTTGCTTTCCTGAATTGGAAATTAAGGCATTTTGGATTATGTTCTTTTTTTTCAAGCCAGGGTTTCTGTGTGTGGTCTTGGCTGTCCTAGAACTAGTTCTGTAGAACAGGCTGGCATTGAACTCACAGATCCACCTGGTTCTATTTCCCGAGTGCTGGGATTAAAGGCTTGTGTCACCCCTGCACCTCCATGTGATCTTTTGTCATATAGGAATTGAGTATATTGAGTCATGGAAGGGGTATGGGTGTGTGTAATTAGATCAGAAAAACTGCACATCTTTTCTTGAATGAATGGTCCTTAAAAAGAAATGTCAAATTTGGTTAATATGATGACATACACTAGAAGATGTAGGAAGATCAAAAGTTCAAGGTTATCTTAGGCGTTGTAGTTACAACTCTGTCTTAATAAGTAAAACCAGGGGTGGGAGAGATGTGTTAGCTGTTAGGAGTATTGGCTGCTTCCTGAGTACCCAGGTATAATTCTCAGCACCCATGCCATTGCTCACAACTGTGTGTCATTCGAGTCCCAAGGGATCTGACACCCTCTTCTGGCTTCCAGGGGTACCAGTCATGCACAATAAAAATAAATCTTTACACTAGAGTTACAGACAGTTGTGAGCTGCCATGTCTGTGCTGAGAACTGAATTCAGGGCCCTTTCAAGAACAGTGACTGCTCTTAACCGCTGAGCCATTTCTCAAGCACCTAAACTTTTTGGAAAAGCAAAAAAATCCAAAAAAAAAAAAAAAATTGATTTTTCTTTTCCATGTGCTACTTTGCATTTGAACTTGTTTTCATGTTGAGTTTATTAAAAGACATTAATGTTAGTCATGGCCGTGGCTCGTGACTTTTCCCCGGTAACCAGTGTCGCTACAGCGCCGTTCATCCTATCGAGGCATGCCACAGATGAGAGAAGATATTTGCAACACATGAAACTGACCCAGGCTTGTGGACAGAAGATAAAAGAATGCCCATGAATAAGATAATGTAATACAGACCTGGATGAGAGTTGATTATAAAAAATGGCTCTTCAGGTGACCAACATTATATGAAAAGGAACTTAATACAATGAAATGTAACTGTCGGAGAAAGGCTGGGAATTTTGAGTGGTAATAGCAAACTCTAGGATTGAATAACTACAATTTTCATGCATTATTGATAACTTGATGTAAAGAACTTGGAAACTGATGCCCATCTAAATTCAACTTAGATACACACTTTACATCCAGATTCTACCAATGAGAAGGGATGTAAATGTGGGTAGTACAGCTCTAGTCATAAAAGAAATGGTGGTCTGGTAAGATGACTCAGCAGGTAGGAATGCTTGCTTGCTAACTGCACCTGATGACCTGGGTTGATCCCGAGATCCCCTTGTAGAAGAGAACTAACTCCTTAACGTTGTCTTCTCACCTCCATTTGTACACTTGCACTTTCACACCACACAGGACAACAGTAAAAGTTTAAGAAAGAAATGACAAGGGGCTGGAGAGATGGCTCACAGATTAAGAGCATGTACTGCTCTTTCAGAGGTCCTGAGTTCAATTACCAGCAACCACATGGCTCACAACCATCTATAATGAGATCTGGTGCCCTCTTTTTGACAGGGTTTCCCTGTTTAGCTTTGGAGCCTTTCCTGGAACTCACTCTGTAGACCAGGCTGGCCTTGAACTCACAGAGATCCGCCTGCCTCTGCCTCCCGAGTGCTGGGATTAAAGGTGTGCACCACCACTACCCAGCTTCTGGTGCCTTCTTTTTGGTGTGCAGGCATACATTTAGACAGAACACTGTATACATAATAAATCTTTAAAAAAAAAAAAAGAAATGACATTTAAGGGTCTTTCGTAGTAGTTTTTACATGTTAAATCCTTAAATTGCTTTTGTTTCTGCTGGTTTGTTTTTACCCATCAGCCACTTAGGTATTCTACTGTTGACTCATGAATCTACAACAAACAAAGCATGTAAAGTTAATCTTTTTGTAGTCTTCTCCTCCTCTTTGAATTTTACTATTTTTATATTGTCCTATACTATTTGGGAAGGGAGGCTTTACAAAGAACCAAGCGACCCCTGCATAGTAGGCAGTCCTCACTTTACCACTGAGCTCCTGTTTACTCTTGCCAAATGTCAACCTCAAATTCTGCCATTCAGATGTATCATACTCCCTGTTTTCTGAGCTGATACCTTAGGGAATGATTTTATCATTGTATATTTATTGACTTCTTTGCCTTTTTGTTTTTCCTTTGGGAATGAGTGCTGAGAACTATAATAGGAGTTTATTAGGTTCATAAGAGACAAGGGAAAGGTTTTATTACCTAGTGTGCAAAAAACAATTTGAAGTTGACAACCTTACTCATAACAAAGCATTCATATTAATTGAGAGTGTATTCTTCTAAGCTTTGAAAGGTTATCGAAACATTTAACCTTTTTTAGAATAAGTTCATTGCTTTTTAGTGAACTTATGTTTAATATTCTAAACAACTATCTTTTCTTATTTTAAGCATGGGGGGTAAAGTACCACCTGCTACTCATAAAACTAAGACAGAAGAAAATACCAAGGTAAGTTCAAATTTCTTTCCTTTGTTTAAGGATAAGACACTAGTATTTTTTTTTAAATTGCTGTTCACAAGTTTTATTATTTCTGATGTCCCCACTTAGAAGTATGATCTTTTAAATTTGTTGTCTTTGAAAATTTTCTCTTAAATCAAATCTGGAAGCTGATTTAAAACAGAATTTGGAGTCGAATGCCAGCTGTTTCAGAATAATGTTGCCTGTGTGTTTAAAATAGCTTGTAAATAGTAAACTCTGTACTGCTTTTCCTTGTCTCTTTAGTAGCAGCACGGGGAAATAAATCCCTCAGAGCATTCTCATTCTCCCTCCCTGCTACCTGAGGGGAGATTGCCAAGGATGAAGAATAGAATCATGGTTTTGTTTTAGCACACTTGGCAGGATGGCATGCAAGATTGGGAGAGGTTGCTCATGGTTGAAGTTTGGATATGAAGGGATAAATAACACTTAACATGTTCTTCAATAGTTTTCATTTCTCTTGTACTGAGATCCCCCCCCCCCCCAGTTTTCTAATTAGTTGTCTAATTGATGGGAAAAATCTGTTTTACTTGGAACCCTAAAGGCTTATTTGTAAAAGAAAATAGAAGTTATACTCCAGATGTAATGATAGGTGCTTGTAATCTCAGCACTTGTGAGACAGGCAAGTGGACCGAGACTTTAGGTCATCTTGCGTTACATAATGAGCTCCAGACCATTTGGGATTACCTAGTGAGACCTCCCCAACAAAAAGAAAAAAAGGAAAGCTCAGTTTTTAAACACATGCTTTCCTTTTTACATGAGAGCCTGAGTTTGGATTCCCAGCCCATACTTAAATAAAAAGCTGGGTGTTGCATGGTTATGGTGGTGCACACCTTTAATCCCAGTGCTGGGGAGGAAGAGACAGGTGGATCTCTCAATTTGAGGCCAGCCTGGTCTATAGAGCAAGTTCAAGGACAATCAAGGTTACACACAGAGACCCTGTCTCAAAACCCCAAGCTGTAGGTGTAGTGGCTTTTTGTTGCTTTATAAACCCTATGACCAGAAACAACTTGGGGAGGAAGGGTTTATTTCAGCTGATAGGTTTCAGTCCATCATAAAGGGAAGCCAGGAGAGGAGCTTAGGGTAGGGACCTGGAGGCAGAAACTGAAGCAGAAACCGTGGAGGAGTGATGCTTAATAGACTGCTTAGATGCAGCCCAAGCCCACCTCCCACAGTTGGCTGGACCCTCCTATGTCAATTAGAAATTAAGAAAATGTCTCACAAGGAAGGCTGCAGGCCAGTCTGGTCTGGTCAGTTCTTCAAGTGAGGCTCTCTATTCCTAGGTGACTATAGGTTTGTGTCAAATCGACAGGTGAATCTAACCAAGACATTTCACCCCTTGTCAACCTTGACAAGCATGATTTTTAACCATGACCTTTCCTTGTTTGTCTCTAAGGTCTTATGTTAATATAAAATGTGAAACTTTAAAAGTCCCACAGTTTTTAGTAATTCCGATGCTTTAAAAGTTCATAGTGAAGCTGGGTGTGGTGGCCATATTTCTGCCCTAGTTTTCTTTCTGATGGCCAGAAGCATTTAATTGGGGGCTTGCTTACAGTTTCAGAGGATTAGTCCATTATTATCATGGCAGGAAGCGTGGCAGCAGGCAAGGCACTGAAGAAGTAGCTGAGACTTACATCCTGATCTGTAGACAGAGAGGGAGACACTGGACTGACTTGGGCCTGTGAAACCTCAAAGCCCACTCCCAGTGACACACTTCCGCCATCACGGCCACACATCCTAATCCTTTCAAATAAATAGTGCCTCTCAGTGGTGACTCAGCATTCAAATATATGAGCCTATGTGCACCATTTTTATTCAAACAACCACACTATCTCAAAAAACAAAATTTTGGGTGATGGAAGAAGTATATGCTAACATACTGACAATTTGTACATTTGTCACTCAACAAATATTTTAGAATTAAAATAGAGACTTAGACTTTACCTGTGAAGCCATCTTGCTTTTTTTGGGGGGGTTTTTTTTTTTTTTTTTGGTTTTTGGTTTTTCGAGACAGGGTTTCTCTGTGTAGCTTTGCACCTTTCCTGGAACTCACTTGGTAGCCCAGGCTGGCCTCGAACTCACAGCCATCCGCCTGGCTTTTTGAGGCAGTTTTACTGTGTATCCCTGGCAGACCTGGAATTTCTGTAGACCAGGCTGGCCTCCTAATTCAAAGAGATCTACTGAGTGCTGGGATTAAAGGTATATGCCACCACTCCTGGCCTGACTTTGGTTTTTTTAAGATTGAAAGTGGAGGGGAACCTAAAAGTGCAGTTAAATTACTACTGATCTGCTGACAGTTGGATGAGTAGATAGAGGTTGGCTGATAGTGATTTTTTTTTTCTGTAATGTACATAGCCTCGTTAAAGGAGAAGGCAATGTAAATTTATCTCCTATCCCTCCTGTATCAGAATGGATAAGAAACTGGGGGGTACTGGAGGGTGGGAAGGAAATTTGCTTGCCATCATGCTCTCTTTTAAAGTTGTTATAGTTTGTGTGTTACAATTCAACAGATGCTTTCTTTGCAGTTTTCAAACTGAATAACCCTTGAAAACTGAAGTACTTAGGACACATTTGGCATTAAAACACAATCCCAGCACTCGGGAGGCAGAGGCAGGCACGTCTACAGAGTGAGTTCAGGATAGCCAGGGCTGCACAGAGAAACTTTGTCTTGAAAAAGAAAAACAAGCACAATCTGAAAATGTGTTCCCTTTCACATACAGTCTCATGTTACTGCCCAGACTGACCTCAAACGACCCTACTGTCTTGTCAGTTTTCAGTCTTTTACCATCAGCCATGAATAGTATGATTTATTTCGCATAAAATATTATTTCTTTTCATGTTGTTTTCTGAGACAGTCTCATGCCAAGTAAGCTGGCCTCATAAGCTTCTAATCCTCAGACTTCTATCTGAATGCTGTGGTTATAGGCTGGAGTTTCCATGTACAGCCAAGATGTTAGATTATGGAAGTCATAGCGTACGTACAGTGCCTGTGAAAGAATGTTATGTAGCGTGTAGTATATGAATTGTATTCCCAGACATTTCAGTTCTACAATACCTATCCTAAAGGTTTGGATAAAGTATCAGACCTATAGTTAGTTAGAAATGGGAAGTAAAAGGATGGTTAACAGCTGAAATATAGTGTATTTGAATAAGATACAAATTTATATATATACATACACAAACACATCTTAGGTTTTTAAGTACTGATCGCACTATTCAATTTTATTCTGCTAGGAAGAAAAAAGAGATACTAAGACAGAGGAAAACATAAAGACGGATGAACTATCAAGTGAGGAGAGTGATCTAGGTGAGCACACGGGAATATGTGTAGATAACCTTGGTAACTCTGTCCTGTGGGTGGTATTTTTGTTCAGCAGTTTTTGTTGCAGCCTCTCAGTTTGTAGCCCAGGATGATCTGGAACAGTATAGCACAAATGGCCTTGAATTTGAGGTAGTCCTCCTGCCTCAGCCTCCTGAGTGCCGGGTGGCTAGTTTTATTTACTGGTTTGGTTATAATACTGACCTACAGACTTTTTCCTCTGTTCTATAAAATTTGTGTACACCTGCTTTTTAAAGTTAATTGTATTAAAATTAAATAGTATTTTGTCATTAGCTACAATTACTCTATAATTTGTACTGTCCACATTAATGTCTTTAAAAACATTGTGGTACATCTCTGAAAAAATTTTTAGAGGAAGCTTATTAATTTGCTGATGGGGGAAGGTTTTGTGGCGGTCAGAGAAAACTCTGGGAGTCAGTTTTCTCCTTTACTGTGTGGAGTTCCAGAGAAGGACCTCAGCTTCAGGCTTTGAAGTAAACACTCACCCGCTGAGTCCTATCTCTCTGACCCCCAATTTTTCCCAAGGGAATTTTGGAGACTGACTACACCAGTGGTATGGTTTTATGTAATACACTGTGCATATTACCATCACTATCACTACAATAACTATCTGATTTAGCCTGACAAATTAAGTAGTAGTCTTTTTTTTTTTTGGTTTTTCAAGACAGGGTTTCTCTGTGTAGCTTTGCGCCTTTCCTGGGACTCGCTTTGGAGACCAGGCTGGCCTCGAACTCACAGAGATCCGCCTGGCTCTGCCTCCCGAGTGCTGGGATTAAAGGCGTGCGCCACCACCGCCCGGCCAAGTAGTAGTCTTTTTTTAAAGTTTTTATTTGATGTGTACAGGTGTCTGCATGTGTGTGTATACACCATGTGCATACCTGTTGCTCTCAGAAGCCAGAAGAGGACATCAGATTGCCTGGAACTGGAGTTGTTGGATAGTCGTGAGCCATCATGTGGGTGCTAGGAATCAAATCTGTGTCCTCTGAAAGAATAGCCAGTGCTCTTAACCACAGAGCCATCTCTCCAGCCTACTCCTAAGTAGTAGGCTTACCTACTAATAGTTATTAGTAGTTACTTTTAACAGGGAAGTAGTTTATAATGTATCAAAGTTCAGGTGAAACTAGTTCATAGTTATACTGGCAACTAGTTCATTGTCTTTCTGAGGTGTTATTCTAAACAATATCTATAACCTCCACCACACTAGGCAAGTACTTTACCCCTGTGCTGCACCACGATCAGTTCATCTGATTTTAATAGTTTCAAGTAAGTAGTGGCTATTAGGCTATCCCATACTTTTAATTTAGGTTTTAATTTCATGGTTTTCAACTTTTGTAGAAATTGACTGTGAGGGTGTAATTGAGCCAGACACTGATGCCCCTCAAGAGATGGGAGATGATAATGCAGAGGTAAGTTTAATGACTTATTTTAGGAAAGTGATGTTTCCCGGGTTTGGGATTGTTTTATAACATTACTCACAAGAACTACATGATAAGTAGTAATCTTTTTTAAAGTTTTTATTTGATGTGTACAGGTGTCTGTGTGTGTGTGTGTGTGTGTGTGTGTGTGTGTGTGTGTGTGTGTTTTACAGCATTTTGGCACATTTTTCAATTTTACTACCTAAAATATTTGTAAATTCCCATGGTAGTTTTAATGATAATTTCTGAAATCTTGTATTTTATTTTGCTTATTTAAAATTACTTTAGTTTGATTAATCTGTAAAGTCGTTCCCCTAAAGTATATACCTACAATTCGATTGTCTTTCTGAGATGATTTTTTTATTTGTATTAATATTTTTGTCTGCAATTATATCTGTGCACCATGTGCATGCCTGATGTCCAGGGAAGCCAGAAAAGGATGTTGATCCCCAGGAACTGGAGTTACAGACAGTTGTGAGCCGCCATATGGGTGCTGGGACTTTAACTGAGAGGTGCTCTGGAAAAGCAGCCAGTGCTCTTAACTATTGAACCCCCTACATTTGTCTTTTTGTTTTGTTTTTGTTTTCAAGACAAAATTTCTCTGTATAACAGCCCTGGCTGTCCTGGAACCCATTTTGTATACAAGGTTGGCCTTGAACTCACAGAGTTCTGCCTGCATCTGCCTCCCAAGTACTGGGATTAAAGGCATGTGTCACCATCCCTGCCGTAAAATTGTCTTTTGATGCAATATCTAGTGGCACATTATTTTTCAAATGCTTTTATCACAGGGAGTTCCTCCTCAAAGAGGTGAAAACTGGCACTTGGTAAAGAGGTGTGGAAAACAGTTTAAATTAACCATGATCAATGGCCTTCTAAAGGGCAACAGGACGTCTTCAAATGTCTTGTGGTCTCTGCTAAGGGAAGAAATTTATAAACAGTAGTGCAGTGAATCTTCAGCACCTGGTCTCAGAGTCATCTTTGCTAGTCGTATATGAAGCAGTCTGTTCTTGTGGCTTTTTGCTTACATTGTCTTGACTTCTAAGAGGCTTGAGCACATTCTGGTCTATTTTGGTCATTGGTGGGCATTTGTGCAATCCTGTTCAGACCTTTCCCAATTTTTCTTAAGTTGTCTTTTTCCTTTCTTATGCTTCTCTCACCTCTTTTTTTGGGACAGGGTCTCTTAGTTCAGGCTGACTTGGAAATTTTTGCTTTAGCTCCCCAAATGCTCCAAATACAGGTTTTGCCACTATGCCCAATTTTATGGGATGCTGGTGATGAAATCCAGGGCTTTGTACATGCTAGGCAAGCACTCAACCAACCTATATCTGAAGCTCCTCCTTCTGATCATTTATTTATTTATCTATCTATTTATTTAAGCATCTTGTGTAGCTCAAACTGTCCTCAAACAAGGTGGTTCTATAGCTTCAATCTCCAAATTGCTAGTATTACAGGAGTATATCACCATGCCCAAAGTTTTGTACTCAACAGAACTTTTATTGGAGTTTGTTTTCATCAGCGCTGACATACTGTTTACTGTGTGTGGCCCTCTGGGGACGCTATTGTTCTGCATGTCTTAATTCCTTTCTCTGTACTAATGCCACATTTTCTTACACAGCTGTGGACTAAGTCTTGTTATCTGGCAGGATAAGGACTCATGAAACTTGATGAATATTTTAGCTGTTCTTGGTGTTTTGTTTTTTCAAATAAATTTTAAAATTAGATTGTCTGGGTCTCCTGTTCCAGTATAGGCCATTCTCATTCACAGTTCCCTTCTCTTTCTACACATTCTCCCTCCCTCCCTCCCTCTCTCTCTCTCTCTCTCTCTCTCTCTCTCCCTCTCTCCCTCTCCCCCTCTCCCCCCTCCCCCTCTCCCTTCCTTCCCCCCTGTCCCCCCTCTTCTCTTTCTCTCTTCCTCTCTCTCACGGGTGGAGGAGAAAGAGAGACATGGGGTAGGGAGATTTGATTAGAGTTGCAAGCACCTTTGCTTACTGAGACATCTCACCAGCCCAGTTACGGATTTTCAGGAGGGCTTTCCCCTCTCCATCTCTACTTGACTGTCCCTTGTGGAAAAGAGGGTTAGTTTTTGCTTACCATGTGCTTGTCAGTGTAGGCATTTCAAGCTCGTGATTCATTTGAAGTCATGGTGATTAACCTACCCACATTGTTCTTAATCTGAATGTATAGTTTGTGTGTGGTGTTCTGCATTGTCTTCAAAAACAAAATACCAGGGTATCAGGTTTGACATTCGCCTCAAGAGTGAATGTAGATTTAATTGTCTAAAATGCTGTTTAGTTCTTTGAACTGTTTCTGACTTTGTTTTTAAAAACATGTTTTCTAATTTGTCAAAAGAGTTTAATAAATAACTTAGAAGTAGATTAAAATATTTCAGTGAATACAATTAATAAGATATAGATCTAGGAAATTTACTTTTGTCTTTAACACAAAACTATATTTTTCAAGCATGGTGTGATAATTTCAATACATACATACAGTGTATACTGATCTAATTGGAGTAATTACCCTTTTTCATTTCCTCGTAAAGACAGATTGAAGTATATCATATTCTTCAACTGTGAGTGTTCTCTCTCCCTCCCTTTCCTCTCTAGAATAGACTTGTAGGTCAACATGCCATAGACAGGCACACTTAGATGTCCATACCTATGCAGCACTGTCACAATAGCCAAGTTAGTTGACAGGTAAGTGGGTTCCCCTAGTGCTGTGAAAAGACACCACGACCAAGGCAACTCTTAGAAAGAAAGCATTGAATTGAGGGCTTTCTTAACAGTTTCAGAGAGTTAGTTCATTATCATGATAGGGACAGGCTGCTGGAGCAGTAGCTGAGAGCTTTATATTCTGAGCCACAGGCAGCCCGCAAAGAGAGGCATTGGACCTGGTTGTGGGGTTTTGAAACTTCAAAGCCCACCCCCAGCAACACACTTCCAACAAGGACACATCTACTCCGACATGGCCACACCTCCTACTACTTCCGAGTTTTGTTTTTTTTTAAATATTTATTTATTTATGTGTACAGTGTTATGCCTGCATGCCTGCAGGCCAGAAGAGGGCACCAGACCTCATTACAGATGGTTGTGAGCCACCATGTGGTCGCTGGGAATTGAACTCAGGACCTCTGGAAGAGCAGCCAGGGCTCTTAACCTCTGAACCATCTTTCCAGCCCATACTTCCTAGTTTATCAACTGGCTCTAAGCGTGCAAATAAATGGGCCTATGGTAGTCATGCTCATTCAAGCCACCACATAGAAGAAAATATGTGTGTATACACAGTGGATTTTTACTAAACTGTAAAGAAGAATGAAATTATATTGTTTGTTGGAAAATAGGTCCATCTGGAAATCCTGTTAAGTGAAATATGTCAGACTCAGTGAGACATTACTACATTTTCTTTGATTTGTGTGTCCCGGGTTGCACTTAGATACATAAAGCCATTTTTATATGTGTGACATAAAATTTTCTTGGAGTCTTTTTATGTTTCTTTGATAGAATTTTACTTTTTGTTTGTTTGTGGAAGTCTTAGGTGGTCTTGGAGCTGTTTTCTAGGCTTGGTTTCTGTTTCATCCAATGTTTTGGGGTGTACAGGAACTCTGACTTCGCTTTTGGTTGTTGTTTTGCATTGTAAGAGTCTTACTCAGTAAACCATGCTGGCCTTGGGTTTCGAGCAGGCCTTTTGCCTCTCCCTCCACCTCCTGAGTGCTGGGATGTCTTGTATAATATTAGAGGAACCAGCCTTAATATTATACATCCTAGGGGCTCATGAGAAACTACGAACAGCAAGGACTATTTTTGAGGAAATAGAATCTCAGCACACAGAGCTCTATAGTCCACTTGCTTTAACTCCTTTGGCATAACATCCTATTTACACAGCTTCAGTTCTGTTCTCGTGCTTAGCTCCTTTCTTGCCTGATTTCTCTCTATATTCATCTGCTCCCTCCAAGTTTTATCTTAATTCTGCCTCATCTAGGTCCTTTTCATTTTGTTCTTACTTAGCTAGTACTTCCCCATCTGACTCTTCCTCATCTTCCATCTCGTCCACACATACTCTCTGGTCAAAATCCTCCTTATCTCTCTCCGTTCTCCCTCTCTAAATTCTCCATGGTTCCTCTTAAGTCTCCCCGGAATCCTGTTATAAACCCAAGCGATAGCAAGCCCCTGGTTGAGCAAGGTCACCAGGCTTGAATTCTACAGGGTCATAAAAGCAGGTAAGAATTTTCCTTAGGAAGTGATCACCAGGCTTTCTTTTACAATCCAAAATGGGAGTGGTAAAAGAGGAGGTCAACTGAGTGCTAATGACCAGTTTGTATATTAAAAAGTGGATCTGTGTGCTCAGTCTACATTCCTAGAAGTGGTTAGGTAAGAAGTTAGGGGTCTATTAGTAAGGTTGTATAAGAAAGGAGGGTCTCACCCTAAATTGCAAAAGAAATAAAGCTATCTATCTCCTGACATAGGAGACAGGTGTTGTTTCGTATGGCCTTGGATGCTTGATAGGCATTTTAGATAAATACACTGTTAGGAGTTCTTGGAAGCACACAAGAAAATCATTGTGGGAACCAGCTAATGTATATACAAAAGTTAATATCTCACCAAGACTCCTTAAGCCATGGCTTGACCTTTGGAGAAGTCCTTGACTCTTCCAAGTAGTAGCTGTTGGGATAGCACCTGAATTCCATTGCAGTTTCCTGCGGCTTGCAACAGGGATGAAGGTGTGTGCTACCACAGCTGGCCTGCTTGATGTTTTTGTATTGTTCTTGTTTTACAGATCAAGTAACTTGTCACTTCTATTGAGTTTTCTAGTTAGATGTAAAGGTAACTACTTTCCTTTCTGTTCTTAGACAAGCAAATAATTTCCATCTCCTGTTCCTGCTGCTCTGCCACCACCACCACCAAGACAGGGTCTTACTGTGTATCCCTAATTGTCCGGAACTGACTGTGTAGACGAGGTTGGCCTTGACCTCAAAGTTTCTCCTGCTTTTGCCTCTTGAGTACTGCGATTAAGGCTGAGCTTTCAGTGCTTGGCAGAGATCGTTTTCTTAGTCGGCACCTGCAGGTGTTTGACACAGTCAGGCGATAGGTGGATGTGGATAGAGTTATGGCCGAGCACTCAGCTTTAGATAGGATATCGAGCACACGTCTTGTTGGTCTCGGCTGTCATCGGTGTTCTTGTACTTGTCCTCTCACTAGTGTAGCTGCTCACTGGGAATAAAGAAGTAAGACCTGTGTCTTCTCTGATGGAAGTGTGAAAGGCACTAGTTCATGTTTTATGAAGAGACTGGATTTAATTGTCCGTGAATAGTTCCCATAGAGTAGGAAAGACGATTGGAAGCAAAACAAAAGTCCTTCCTAAGGCAGGTGTGAAATGTTTAAAGGCAACACTACAGTTTTTCACTACTAGAGGTGCGCGCATGAGTGTGGCAGTGACTGTCGTCCTTAAGAAGGTCCACATTGCTCCTTCTCATGCCTGCTTCACTGCTAATGAGATGACCTTCACTTTCCTGGCAGATCACTGAGGAGATGATGGATCAAGCAAATGAAAAGAAGGGGGCTGCCATTGAGGCCCTAAACGATGGTGAGTCGTGTGTTCTTTCTAATGTAGCTCTGTAACAGTGGGATAGTCTTTCTTGTACTGCAGTGACTGTTCATAGTGTAACACGTGAAGGGACTGGGTTTTGTATCTTACCGTACTGAAGATGTTAGGATCCAACTGCCAGCCACTTCCTTCTTGATAGCAGAGTCTAAAATCATTAAGCATCAGTTACGTTATTACCTTAGCACAGACAGATCTGACTTAGCCTCTTCCTGCATGTGTCATGGCCTTTCTCTGCTTAGAAGCAGCTTTTAAAAAGAGGAAAGGGGCCAGGTGGTGGTGGCACCCGTCTTCAATCCAAGCACTGGGAAGCAGAGGCAGGTGGATCTGAGTTCAATGCCACTCTGGTCTATAGAACGAGTTCCAGAACAGACAGGGCTACACAGAAATCCTGTCTCAAAAAAAAAAAAAGGATTAAAAAAAAAAAAAAAGATTAAAAAAAAATGCCAAGAACCCCCTAACTTTTGACATAGGTGCTCACAAGACCTTTGATAAGTAGTGTTCGTAGGCCCAACACTCGTTACAATGGGAATATAGTCCCTGCATTTCAGGTCTTCAAAAAGCTGCTGTTGGTGGCAGCAAGATGGCTTAGCAGCAGTAAAGGGACTCACACCAAGCCTGGTTGACATGAGTTTGACCCCTGTGGTGGAAGGAGAGAACCACTTCCACAGGTTGTCCCCTCCTGGCCCCCATGTATTCCTTGGCATGCCCCTTCCCGCCTTTCCAAAATTTAATTATTATTATTTTTTTTTTACGTTTGAGTGTTTTTTCTGCATCTATGTGTGTGCACCATGTGCGTGCCTGGTGCCTTTAGAAGCCAGAGGAGAGGGTGTCAGATTCCCCTGGAACTGGAGTTAGAGGTCATGTGAGCCGTCATGTGGTACTGAGAATGAAACTTGGGTTTTTACAAGAGCTCTTAACTACTGAGCCATCTCTCAAGCCCCTAAAAATGTAGTTAAAAAGAAAAACTATCAGAGAGGCTTGATATTATTTATTTATGTTTATTACCGTGAGAACAAGTGATCATAAACTTGGGACTGTTGTGGTTCTTGTCAGTAACATTTCATGCCGAGCACTTAGTGACTTGGAAGGTATGTCACTTGTCACAGTAGTGCTGTCACATGCCCATGTGCATTTGCACTGGATTTAGAAGGTGACTGAAGTTTATTTTAGGATGAGTTTAGTAGTGTTGCTCCATATCGGCTGCTTGACTTTTTGGTGTTGGGGGTGCGATGGGGGAAGTTAGTCTCTGTATGTAGTGGGGCTCCTTAGAAGTCCACAGAACTTCCACTGTGGAGCCAAGGCTGGCCTTTATTCAACTCAAGATCTTCCTCCTTCAGCCTGGTGAATGCTGGGGGTTTCAGGCTTTGGCACCACTCCAAGCTCGTTGTACCGTCTTTTTGGTTTAGGTCCTTGTTGCTTGCTCATTCTTTGTATTCTACAGTTCCCCACTCCAATCAGAAATCAAAAAAACCAACAACCTCCGTCATACTAGTTGAGTATGTTTAGAGCCTGGGCCCAGGCAGATGGTGAGCTGCTCAATTCCTTTGCCATACTGTCACTTTATTGTTGCCTTAGTTTGAAGTGCTGGAGGCCAGAGTGTTCAATCCACTACTGTCTACGCCTGTCCTTAGCCCTCCTTTATTAATTTTGTCACTCACTTTTACGTATTGTCTGTTTTTCTTACAGTCTTAGCAAGATTGAACAAAAATGCCATTTAATAGTTGTTTCTGTTTCCAGGCTAGCTGTCAATCTGTATAAATTGGACCTAGTTCTGATTTTATAGTATAGATAAGTGGATCAAAGCTTAACATTCTAAGTCGGTATTCTGAGTATTAACCCCAACCTGGAGTTGGCAAAGTCACTTTGGCTTGGAAAAGCAGGTAGTTAAAACACTTGATCACATGCACAAGTGCCTTACTTTGGATTCATTTGTGGCACCCAACAATGCCAGCTTTCCACTCAGTGGCGACTTGGGCTGAGTGTATTAAGTATAAAGTAATGGCTGTTTCCAGAAAACAGTTTGCCAAACATCTGACCTAGATAAATGGAAGAACGGTTTATTTGTTCAGGGAGATGGGAGGGTGGAGAATAGATTTGGATGTGAAGTGGGAATTAACTGTTGGATTTGGTGATAGAGCATTTGTATGGAATTGTGCAAAGCTCTGGGTTTGAACCCTGGCACTGAGGGTAAAATTTTAGTTTAGAACATGGTATGTCTTCGTTACCAGAAAGAACTACCTGTAACACACACACACACACACACACACACACACACACACACACACACACACAGTAGTACTAAATAAGGCTTTTTTAAATTTTTTGTTTTTTTTGAGACAGTCTCACTATGTAGTCCTGGCTATCCTAGAACTCATTATGTAGACTAAGCTGGCCTTGAACTTTCAGAAATCCACTTGCCCAAGTGCTGGAATTATTAAAGATGTGTGCCACCCCTCCTGGCACTAATAAGACTTTTTGTCTGTTTTGTTTTTGTGAAGTCTATAGAAATCCCATATTCACGAATTGAGCAAATATTTTTCTCAACAAAATTTGACATTTATTTTAAAATTCTGTAGTTACCTTGCCCCTGGGAATTAAACTGGGCCACACAAAGAACTTTTCTTTTTCTTTTTTCCGAGACAGGGTTTCTCTGTGTAGCTTTACGCCTTTCCCGGAAGTCACTCTGTAGACCAGGCTGGACTCGAACTCACAGAGATCCACCTGGCTCTGCCTCCCAAGTACTGGAATTAAAGGTGTGCGCCCACCACTGCCTGGCCACAAAGAACTTTTCTAATTCTGTTTTTATTTGTTGGATAGCTTCTCTTAAAGGACTAGTTTTTTGTTTTTTGGTTTTTTTTGTTGTTTTAAAGGAAAACAAAAGCTTTTGGGCCAGCAAGATGGCTTACTAGGTAAAGGTGCTTGCTACTGAGCCTGGAAATTTGAGTTCAGTCCCTGGGACTTAGATGATGGAAGGAGATAAACCTCCAAAAGTTGTCCTGATTTGTCTGCATACATGCATACAAAATAAGAGTAAATGAATGTGATTCATTATCTGTAAATCTAAGAATGTGGGCCGGAAGATGGCTCAAGGAGTGAGAATGCTTCCTGTCCACTCTGTTACAAGGAGTGAGAATGCTTGCTGTCCACTCTGTTACAAGGACTAGAGTTAGGATCCCAGCACCCGTGTTGGGGGGCTCCCTGGGAGCCAATGCCATTCATCTTCTGGCCCCAACATGTGTGCATGTATTTATACATGCATTAACACACAGAGAGACAAATAATGGTAACAGTGAGTAAAGGTTAATGGCTTAATGGCTTAAATGTCTCCATTTCTGTGAATTTAAGCAGTATTCTTGTTTTCTTAACAATCCTGTGAAATTAGTTTGGGGCACTTTATCCTCTTTAGGCTGAATTTATTCTTCTAACAAGTAAAACTTAAGATGACTAGCATAAAATTAATATGCTTACTGTTTTTTATATTTACTTTTTTTTTCTTCAAGACAGGGTTTTTTCTGTGTAATAGCCCTGACTGTCCTGGAACTCTCTTTGTAAAGCATGCTAGCCTTGAACTCACAGAGATCCTCCTGCCTCTGCCTCCTGGGTGCTGGGATTAATGGAGTGGGCCACTACCGCCCAGTAATGTTTTGGATTTTTAAAAGAGTTATTTCTTACGTGTCTGTGTCTTTGCTTGCATGTATGTATGTGCACCACATGTGTGCCTGGCACCCTTGGAGTTCTGAACAGGGCATTAGATCCCCTGGAACTAGAGTTAGAAATGAATTAGCCTCCTTGTAGGTGTTGGGAACCAAACTGGTTCCTTTGCAAGAGCTGTCAGTTTCCTAACCATTACTCCAGCTTCCATTTATTTATTTTTTGCTTGGGGTTGGGGTTTCTGGTACACATGCACAGTGCATGTGTAGAGGTCAATGAACAGCTTTCAGAAGTTCGTTCTCCGCCGCTACCATGTGGGTCTTTTCTTCTGAGGCAGTCTTCCTACAGTCCAGGTTTCCTAGGACTAATTGTGTAGCCTAGGCTTGCCTTCAGTTTGCAGTCCTCTGACTTCTGCTTCTTGGGTGCTAGAGTTTACAAATCTGCATCATCTTGCTTTGTCTTTTTTTTTTTCTTTAAAAAATTTGTTTTGTTTTGTTTTTCAAGACAGAGTTTCTTTGTGGAATAGCCTGGGCTGTCCTGGAGATTCCCTTTGTAGACTAGGATAGCCTTCACCTCCCAAGTGCTGGGTTAAAGGTGTGTGCCACCACACCTGACTCTTTTAAATATTTTTAAAATTACTTTTATTTTGTGTGTATGGGTGTCCTAGTGCCCTTGGAGGCCATAAGAAGGCATCAGATCTCCTGGAATTTGGGTTATAGATGGTGGGTTGTGAGTTGATATGGGTGTTGGAAATTGGACCTGGATCTTCTGGAATAGCAGTGTTCTTAACCACTGAGACATCTCTGGCCCCTTATTTAAAAATATTACTGTACTGACTGCTCAACACAATGCTTAATGCTTGTTGGAAAGTACCTATCACTGAGCTGTGTCTCCCATCTCTATTAGTCTTTTCTCCTTTTTAAAAAAAAGTAGACTGAGAAAAGAATATGTAATTCTTTTTTTTTTTCCTCCGGTTTTTCGAGACAGGGTTTCTCTGTGTAGTTTTGCGCCTTTTCTGGAACTCACTTGGTAGTCCAGGCTGGCCTCGAACTCACAGAGATCCGCCTGGCTCTGCCTCCCGAGTGCTGGGATTAAAGGCGTGCGCCACCACCGCCCGGCAGAATATGTAATTCTTAATCAGATGAAAAAGTCAAAGTATTGTATTAATATTTTTGTCCTTTGGATATTAGTAAGTTTTGTTTCACTTCAGGTGAGCTGCAGAAAGCCATTGACTTGTTCACTGATGCCATCAAGCTAAATCCTCGCTTGGCAATCCTATATGCCAAGAGAGCCAGGTAAGAACGTTTAAGTACAAAAGTATCTTTTGTAAACTTCTTATCCTCCTTTATTTTAAGAATTTTGATTCTATAGCAATCCCAAAGGTTTTATTGTTTGAAGTGAAGTTTTTCTTACTACTACGTTGGTTTTTTAGTGTGTTCATCAAGTTACAGAAGCCAAACGCTGCCATCCGAGACTGTGACAGAGCCATTGAAATAAACCCTGACTCAGCTCAGCCATACAAATGGCGAGGGAAAGCACACAGGTAAATGAGCAAATAAATAGGGCTGGGGAAGTGCCTTAGCTGGTAACGGTGCTTGGAAGACGTGAGTTTGACCCATGAAACCCATGACACCCATTCTCATCTCTGTTCACACTTCACCTACATCAGCTTCTCAATCCACTAAGAGTCACTGAACTTCCCCAAGACATCAACACTTGTGAAACCCTAAGTTTTACCACTAGAAGTGAGTACTAGACTGGGTAAAAATGCCTTTTATCCAGATTTTATGAAAAGTCCCAGTAATGAATAAAGAAGTTTCAAGTTTGGGCATTCAATATGCAATCGTTACCACTCTTAGATTGTTTTTAGTTTTTTTTAAGACAGGGTGTTTCTTTCTAAGAGCGTTGGCTATTCTGGAACTCACTTTGTAGACCAGGCTGGCCTCTAAAAAGAGCTGGGATTAGAGGCATGGCACCACCAACTGCCTGGAGAGAATGGATTTTCTTTTTTTTTCTTTTTGGTTTTTCGAGACAGGGTTTCTCTGTGTCGCTTTACACCTTTCCTGGAACTCGCTCTGTAGACCAGGTTGGCCTTGAACTCATAGAGATCCTCCTGGCTCTGCCTCTTGAGTGCTGGGATTAAAGGCATGTGCCACCACCGTCCAGCAACGAGAATGGATTTTCTTTGCACAAATGTATTAAATGACTTATGGTAGTGATTTTTTATGAAGACATATCAAAGAGAAAGGTTGAAATAAAATGTATTAATGCTGTGTAGGTATAGGAGACACTCACACATTATTGTTGGTTTCTTGGAAAGCAGCCCCTAGTCCTCAAGTGGTCTTTTGCTGTCTAATACAAGCATGGACTCATCTTAAACCTGGCTGGTTACAGATTTAGACTAAGCTATATTTTAAGAACTCATAGTTCATTTTCATGGGCACTAAAATTTGTGTTGTAGGGCATATTTACTGCTTCTGTTACTGTCTCTACTGTCACTTCAGTGACACAACCAACAAAAAGTATCCTTCAGTAAAGTGGTGGGATACAAGATGAACTCAAAGTCAGTAGCCCTCCTATACACAAATGATAAAAGGGCTGAGAAAGAAGTCAGAGAAACATCACCCTTTACAATAGCCACAAATAATATAAAATACCTTAGGGTAACTCTAAACAAGTGAAGGACCTATATGACAAGAGCTTTTAAGTCTCTAAAGAAGGAAATTGAAGAAGATATCAGAAAATGGAAGAATCCCCCATGCTCATGGATAGGTAGGATTAACATAATAAAAAAGGTAATTCTACCAAAAGCAATCTACAGATTCAATGCAATTCCCATCAAAATCCCAACACAATTCTTCACAGACTTGGAAAGAGCAATACTCAACTTTATATAGAAAAACAAAAAACCCAGGATAGCTAAAAGAATCCTGTACAATAAAGCAACCACTGGAGGCATCACCATCCCTGACCTCAAGCTCTACTATAGAGCTATAGTAATACAAACAGCGTGGTACTGGCATAAAGTATCTTTATAAATTCATGATTTGAATGAAGAGTTTATAAGTTGAGTTTATGCTGAAATTTTCAATTAAAAATGAATGTGTATCTTTTTAAGTTTTGTCCCTATGTGACATTGTAAGCCTACTGTATGTGTACCAGTGTTTCATAGTTACTGTCTTAGCACAGCATATCCACGAACTAAATTGTAAAGGTTTTCTTGGCAGTCAGAATTGTCCTTAAGAATGTAGCCGATTTAAAATATGTAGCTAAAAAAAAATACCTACAAAGATAATTTTAGGGTGCGTGTGGTGTGAATGGTAGTCATTTCTGTTTGTATTTGGGTTTAGAGTTTGCCTTATCATTTTTATTACATTTATCTTGAGGGGGTGGCAGTATTTCATGTCATGGTGTACATGTTCTCCACCTCATTTTCAACTGCCTCTCCACCCCCAGGCTTTTAGTTCTGAGTACCAGTTTTGGTTGTTTTCTCAATAAAATTCTACATAGGAAATACCATGTGCAATGTCTTTCATGTTAGAAAATTACTGCTTTATCTCCTTCTTTTAAATACATCATAATTATCATTGTAGGAATTTCAGTTCCTTCAAGTTCTCAGAAAGTTAACAATCACAGTAACACAGTTCTTCAATTGATTGATAAAAATTTGTAGCTAATATTTGACTGAAAACTTTGTTACTCTGCTTTTTGTAATGGCTCTTTCAATGAGTTTACATCTCTTTCAGACTGCTGGGTCACTGGGAAGAAGCAGCTCATGACCTTGCCCTTGCCTGTAAACTGGATTATGATGAGGATGCCAGTGCAATGCTGAAAGAGGTTCAACCTCGGGTATGTCCGACCATTACTTAAGACTCCATGGCTTTGGACTTGGCCTGGAAAACAGGCGACGAAGCAGGTAGAGGTTAGAGGCACTGACAGTCTGCTCCACTTGGACAGCTCATTAGTAATTCATGCTTCCATTTTGGACACAGAGAGCAGGGTATATGACCTTTATGCAAAGCTTCAGTGGAGTAAGGCACAAAAGCAGAAAGGTGGTGTGTACATGCACTTGGGAGGCAAAAGCAGGCAGATCTCTGTGAGTTCTGGCTGTGTAGAGAGACCCTATCTCAAAAAGAGACAGAAAGGGCAGGTTTGCAATAAGGAAAGCAAACGAAAACCACAAACTGTATCCCGGGTTGTATTTGACATCTGCTCTGTTCTTATGTAATTGGTAGGTGCAAAGGAGGAAGGCCTCTCTGAGGTGAATTTCAATATCACCTTTTTTAAGTTTTTACTACTGTTAAGTTTTGTTTTGTTTGTTTGTTTGTTTGTTTGTTTGTTTTTTGAGACAGAGTTTTTCTGTGTGTGGCTCTAGCTGTTCTGGAACTCCCTTGTGTAGATCAGACTGGCCTGGAACTCACAGAGATCCGCCTGCCTCTGTCTCCCAAGTTCTGGGATTAAAGGTGTGTGCCACCACCGCCCGGCAAGATTTTTTTTTTTAATTAAGAATTTTTTTATTCATTTTACTGATCTCCCTCACTTCCTTTTTTTTTTTTAATGGAAGTGTTTAATCCAAAAACTATAGAACCTTTAGAGTCTTTTATTTATTTTGTTCCTGAGACAGAATCTCATTGTGTAGATCTGCTTGTTCTAGAACTTACTTTTTAGGCCAGGCTGGCGTCAAACTCAGACAGAGATCCACCTGCCTCTGCCTCCCGAGTGCTGGGATTAAAATTGTGCATCACTACACCCAACTACAAATCTTTTTTTTTTTTTTTTGAATGCAGATATGGATTGGGGATATAGCTTAGTGGTGGAGTGCTTCTGCAGCATTTACAAAGTCCTAAATTTAATCCCCATTCGGATGAATGAATGAAAGAAAAGATATAAATTGCTTATGAGTGAATTTATCCTTAAACGTTTTAATACAGGGGTTTTATTGAATTTAACTCATCACCAGTTTAGAGTTGATTAATAGTTTTTTCCCCCCTTTCGTTATAAGTGTTTCTGTGTATGTGTTGTGTGTAGAGGTTGAGACATTCTGCTGGGTTCTGGGGGTTGAACTCAACGTCAACAATATTTTATAGCAGTTGCTTTAACTTAACTCTGAGCCATCTCACTGGCCCTTGTTTTTTATTTTTAAATTTTGTTGCTTTTGATTTTTATTTTCGACACAGGGTTTCTCTGTGTGTAGCATTCATTAGACGTCTTGGAACTTGCTCTGTAGACCAGGCTGGCCTCAAACTTATAGAGATCCTCCTGCCTCTGCCTTCCAAGTGCTGGGATTAAAGGCATGAGCCACCACTGCCCTGCTTTTTAAAATTTTTATTACAGTAAACTTAGCAAACTAGTTGTTGACCATATTCTAGAACATAAAGTTCTTAAAAATATTTGTATAGACACTAAAGTAACATTTGAATACCAACTGCTTATCTCTAAAGCATTTGAAAGGCCTATTTCTGCCCTCCACCCCTTTTTGGGTAGTTCTAGGTGTCAGACTCTGGGCCTCGTGTGTGTCAATCATGTACTTACCACAAAACTATATACCCCAGCGTTCAAGACTAAATGTTTCTGGCTGTGTCCCCCATTTTTTTAAGTATTGTTTTCATTTTATGTGTATGGGTGTTTTGACTGCATGTATGTTTGGGTACCATGTTCCTGAGAAGAGGGCATTGGATCATCTGGAACTGGAGTTAAAGACAGTTGCAAGCTGTTGTGTGGGTGCTAAATATGGAACCCAGGTCCTGTGCAAGAGCAGCCAGTATTGTTAACCATTGAGCTACCTCTCTAGCCCCACCTTGTCCCACATTTTATAGATGAAGAAACTTTAAATATAGACAGCCTGGCAAAAACTATGTATGTGTATTGAGTATCTGCCTTCCTGTGGCAGGTGTTTTCAGTGAGTTTTTCTGCTGAACTGATCTGTGACTGGTGAATCCTAAGTACTATGTAGTGGGTAGAAGCCACCAAGTAAGAATTGTCATGAAATTTGTAATGTATTTATCCTTGAGCTTTGTCATCTGTTTGAGATTAGAAGATTTCTCTTAAACAGTATATCCTAGACTCTTCTGGTTTCATAGTGTCTAATGCACTTCATAGTGCTCTTAAAGCCTGGACATTTTTAATGGGTTCATTAGCTTATATTAATTATATATAATAACGGTTTTCATTTAGGTGCTGTCTTAGTTAGGGTTTCTATTGCTGTGAAGAGACAGCATGACCACAGCAACTCTTTTTTTTCTTTTTTTTTGGTTTTTCGAGACAGGGTTTCTCTGTGTAGCTTTGCGCCTTTCCTGGAACTCACTTGGTAGCCCAGGCTGGCCTCGAACTCACAGAGATCCGCCTGACTCTGCCTCCCGAGTGCTGGGATTAAAGTCGTGCGCCACCACCGCCCGGCTTCTTTTTTTTTTTTAAAGATTTATTTATTTATTATGTATACAGCATGTATGACTGCAGGCCAGAAGAGGGCACCAGATCTCATTACAGATGGTTGTGAGCTACCATGTGGTTGCTGGGAATTGAACTCAGGACCTCTGTTAAAGCAGCCAGTGCTCTTAACCTCTGAGCCATCTCTCCAGCCCGTTCCCCTCCCCCAGCAACTCTTATAAAGGAAACATTTCATTGGACTGGCTTACAGTTCAGAGGTTTAGTCCATTATCATCATGGTGGGAAGCATGGTGGCATGCAGGCAGACATGTTGCTGGGGAAGGAGCTGAGAGTTCTACATCTTGATCCCCAGGCAGCAGGAAGGGAACTCTCACTGGGTGAAGCTTGAGAATAGGAGACCTCAGAGCCCATCCCCACAGTGACACACTTACTCCAACAAGGCTGTACCCACTCCAACAAAGTTACACCTCCTAATGGTGTCACTCCCTGAGATGATGGGGCCAGTGACCTTCCAACTCCCACACATGTACATACTGTATTTTGTCATTCTTGTGCCTCCTTAATCTTTCCCACTCTCACCTCCAGCTAGTTCCCCCTTCCCCTTTGTTTTCATCTTTTTTTTTCCTTTTTGACCCATTGAGTTTTATTAGGGTTTCTTTAGAGGAGCTGGATGAGGTTATTTATAGGAGCATTGGTTCTACAACGTGTCTTCCTCACTGTCAACCTTCAGTTGCCTGTACCTCCTCAGAGTGGTATGGAACCGCCTTCCTCTCTCTCCAGCTTCCACGAGTTAGGTGCTTTTTCTGTAAGATGAATCTGCCATTTTGTAGGCTATATATTAAAGAAGTCACTGTTAGAAGAAGGGACTTTGAACAGAACTTCCTTTCACTTGACTTGATCAGACATTTCAGGCAAACTTACTTCCTGTGGTTCTTCTTCCAGGCTCAAAAAATTGCTGAACATCGGAGAAAATATGAGCGAAAGCGTGAAGAGCGAGAGATAAAAGAAAGGATAGAAAGGGTGAAGAAGGCTCGAGAAGAGCATGAGAGAGCCCAGAGGGTAAATTGCTGTAGCTAACCCCTCAGGGCTGTCCTTGTCCTCTGTTCTTTCTGAGGTGGCTGCAGCATGTGGGGGGGGTATCCCTAGGAGGAGTGTCCTTTCGTTCTGTCCTTTCTGTTCTTAGTTTCTAAGGTGAAGTCAGCTTGCATTTCACCAACTTATATTTGTTTGGTCTTTTAACCTTGCAAATTTGGGCCAAGAGTATAATTTGCAGAGTGCTTCTATAGCAGGGCAATCCTTTCTCCCATCCAAACTCAAAATTTTCTGGCCAGGTTAATTAAAATTGGATAGTACTATCTTTATGTGTGGTACTAGTCCTTCCCCATAGGATTCTTCTCCTCTGTGTGTTTTATGATTCCTCCCTTTCCAACTGTGGATTCATGGCTATTAAAAAAGATTCTAGCTATGCATCTGTAATCCCAGCATTCAGGAGGCTGAAGAGGGAGGAGTTTTAGTTTAAAGAGAGAAATGACTTAGAGAAAGCTGCGTCACCAAAGCCCACCCAGCATGGGTGACAACTTACAAAAAACTGGGAACCTGGAGTACACTGCACAGCCTCTTCTAGGCAGCTCTGCTGGCCTCAGAGTCTGCAACTTGACTTGACTGCCAGTGATTCTGAGCAGCTTGGCTTGTTTACTCTTGGGAAGGAGACAACTTAGAGAATCTGATCAGTTTCAGAGACTTGTAAAGGTATTTTGAGTTGTTTACCTTTCTGCTTAAATAGCTTCCCTTCAGGATGGACTGTTTAAAGGAAACTGTTAGACAACAGTTGGTTTTATCAGTAGTAGCCTTCTTGTTTCCAACATTGCTAAAGGGACATATAGCTATATAGTTACATATAGCTATATATAAGTAAGTCTTAATTTTGGGGTCTTTTCATAAGCATCATACTTTAAATATATTTAAGTGTCATAGTTTATAAAAAATGTGTGTATCTTTATTTGGTTCCCCTCTCTTCATGTCCTGGGGATCGAACTGGGACCTCACACATGAGAGGCAAGTGCTGGACCACTGGGATACAGTCTATCTTGATGATTGTTTCTAACTAGGTATGAAGGAAGGGTCTAATTGGCCTTTCTTTGTTATTAAAAAGACCTCGGGAAGCCGTTTAAATTTTGCTGAGAGGAAGTAGAAGAGATGAACCTAGGAAATAATCTAGCCATGCCCTTTCATTTTGGAGTTTTAAAACAAGTGAGAATTCATAACTTGCATAAATAGAAGCATGTGCTTTATCTTTCCAGAGAAGTAAACCTGCTAGAAATCATTAGTAAAGTAAGGCCCAGTGACAGTTGGAAACGGTTCACCCAGTAGTTTGTTAAACCTTACTGTTCTGCTATCTTCTGTCTTAGTTTTTGATTTCCTGGATTTCTGTGGCTAGGTTAGGTATGAGGGAAAAGGCTTTCTTTTTGTTGTTTTTCTTCTGTTACATAATTTGTTTTCATTTTGTCTTCAAGGAAGAAGAAGCCAGAAGACAGTCCGGAGCTCAATATGGCTCTTTTCCAGGTATTTTAGTGTTAATAAATAATTAAGATAGATCCTGATCTTGGAGCTCAGGGGTATGTATGTATAATGGGAAGAGATAGATAGTTCTCGAAACTCCAAAGAATATTAGTTAATGTTTGTAAAGTTCATTTTCATAAACAATTTTTGTTAGTGGAAAAAAAGCATTATTTTTCTCCTTTGAGTTATAATACACTTTAAGAAAAGTTAATAGTTGTTGAGAGCTGAGTGTTGTACTTCAGGTAATTTGTTATAATGTAATCTAAGTTTCTAAACCAGTAAGATTATGTTCTGTTACATGTGATAATATTTATATTCATGAGGATATTGCCTAAAAACCCAGGGCTGGCTAAGTGCACGCCTTTAATCCCAGCACTTGGGAGGCAGAGACAGGCAGGTCTCTGTGAGTTTGAGGCCAGCTTGGTCTACAAATTGAGTTCCAGGTCAGCCAGGGCTACACAGAGAAACCCTGTCTCAAAATGTCTTGAAAATCCAAAGAGGGAGAGATTATGTTCATTTCTGAGTGTGTGTGCGCGTGTGTGCTCGCGCGTGTGCGCTTGCTGCTCATGGAGGCTTGAGAGTTTTTTGGATCCCCTGGAACTGGAGTTAACAGTCAATAGTTGTGAGTCTTCCAGATTAGATACTGGAAACTGAAGTCTTGTCTTTGCTCTTTTCAAAGACCAGCAAGCACTCCTCACTGCTGAGGTGTCTTCCTAGGCACTTTTTTCTGTCTTGTAAGTGTCTTAAAGTCAGAAGTTAGTAGCAAACTAAGCTTTTGAGGATTAGCAAAGGACAAGCATTCAGATAGGCGAGGGGAAAAAAATAAGTTTTGCTGCCTGAAAGAGGCAGTATGAGGTTTATATAAACAATACACTTAAAAAATGGGTTTTGTTGGCTTATTTTTAAAAGGCTGTCTTCTACTTAGTGGTAACTAGTTTTACCACTAGTTAGACACCCATTTATGCTTATATACCATTGGGTAGAACCATTTATTCTAAAGCTAGAAAATGGAACATGTGTTATCCGTGCAATGGTGGTTCATACAGAGATAGGCAGATCTTTGAGTTTGAGGCCAGCCTGGTCTACTGAGCGAGATCCAGGACAGCCAGGGCAACACAGAAAATCTCCATTTCGAAAAAGCAAACCAAAAAAGAAGAAGATAAAATGTAACGTTTTCATCAACAATAAGATGATGGAAAAATTACAGCTCATAGCTTACTTCTAGCTTAAAATATGAATCTGATTGTCAGTTCCCTTTGTTATAGAGAAAGCTTTACTAACGTGAACTAATATTAGATCTAGCTAGTCTCTGTGCATTTTGGTATCTCATTTAGCAAGCCTTGTTCCAGTAACTTCGTCATGGGGAGGAAGTGATCTTGGAAAGCCTGTGAGAACAAATTAGAGAAGAAGCTTCCAAGTTTGTGTTTTTCCTGCCTCTTCCTCATGTTACAGTGCTTATAGGCACGCTTGATTTATTGTTGAGCACGATAGGAATGACTGTTCCATGTGTTTATTTCTTACAGCTTCACTTGTCATGATTCTGTGTCTGTAGAATACATTAATATTGCTTAGTTTTCTCTTTAGGATGTTCTTATTTTGGCACAATTGTCATTTCAGAATATCTTCAGTAGACATAGAGGGTTTTTATTACACAGAAACCGAGAGGCTGGAGAGATGTCTCAGTGGTTAAGAGCGCTTGCTGTGCAGTTATAAGGATAGGACTTCAGATCCATGCACTCAGACAACAAGCCAGGCATTAGATACCTAGGACTCCACTTGCAGGACATCTAATGTCCGCTTCTGGCCTTAGTGTGCACACAGGCTGAATACCCACATACCCATACTCACAAATAGAATCTTTGAAAAATTCAAGTAGAAAATAGAGTGGGTTTATAATTTAATAGTGTGCTTAGAAGAACGAAGTCGTTTTTGTTAGAGAATTACACTAGAAAGAATCACTGTGAGTGCTTGTCATATGTGCAAATTCTGCCATATGTGCCATTCTGTCTTACAAATGCCTGTAATCCTACTTTAGGGATTAGATGGACTGCCATGAATTTGAGGGTAGTTTGAGCCTCATAGATAAGATCTCAGCTGAACATAACAAAGCCCCAAGTTATTTTTTTAATAATTGTATGTTATTTTTTTAGAGATTTTGATTATTTAGAATGGGCCTCTTAAATACATAGATTCACCAGGCCTGGTGAGGCACACTTGTCATGTCAGATAGTCCTGGCTAGTTTTATGTCAGCTGCCACAAGCTAGAGTCATCTGAAAAGAGGGAACCTCAACTGGGAGAATGCTTCTGGAAGATCAGGCGTTTTCTTTTTCCGAGACAGGGTTTCTCTGTGTAACAGTCCTGGCTGTCCTGGAACTCGCTTTGTAGGCCAGGCTGGACTTGAAGTCACTGAGATCCACCTGCCTCTGCCTCCCCAATGCTGGGATTAAAGGCGTGCGCCACCACCGCCTGGCTGGGAGAGCATTTTCTTATTTCGTGATTGGTGGGAGAGGGTCCAGCCTTTTGTGGGTGGTGCTGTCCTTGAGCCTGGTGGTCCTGGGTTCCATAAGAAAGCAGGCTGTTCAAGCCATGATGAGGAAGCCAGTAAGCAGCACTCCTCCATAGCCTCTGCATCAGCTCCTGCCTCCAGGTTCCTGTCCTGTTTGAGCTCCTGTCCTGACCTACTTCAGTGATACGGAAGTATAAGCCAGATAAACCCTTTCCTCCCCAACTTGCTTTTGTTCATACTGTGTTTTTCATCACAGTAATAGTAACCCTAGCCTAGGACACAGTCTTTAGGAGGTGGAGGCCAGAGGCTCAGGATTTCTTGGCCAACTTCACCTACAGAGCAAAATTTGAGCCTGCCTGGGCTCTACATTACTGTCTCATTCAATAAAAAGAGAAAGAAATTAATAAATTTTTGTTACCCTTATTTTAGGTAAGACTTGAGAAATAACTGCTCTGGATGAATCAGAATGAAATAAAACAAGTTTAGACTGATAGAATTAACTTTAAATTGAAACAAAAATACTCAAGAAATAGAAATTCAAAGGTGATTGAGCTAGCATGGTGATACATACTTGCAGTCTTAGAATTAGGATGATGGGGGAGGAAATCGAGAGTTAGGACAGCCTGGGCTGTACATACATTCATTGCAAGTTCCAGGATAGCCATCCTATATCAAACACCTCATCCCTCCCACCTGCCCCTCAAATAAGAAAAAAAAAAAAACAATGACACACCTGGCATTAATGTTTTGGGAGGACCAGCACATGTTGATTCTTTATTTTTAAGGCAGGATTAGATTTGTTGAACTTTTTTTTTTTTTAAAGACGTTTTATTTTTTTTTTAAAGATTTATTTATTATGTATACAGCATGTATGACTGCAGGTCAGAAGAGGGCACCAGATCTCATTACAGATGGTTGTGAGCCACCATGTGGTTGCTGGGAATTGAACTCAGGACCTCTGTTAAAGCAGCCAGTGCTCTTAACCTCTGAGCCATCTCTCCAGCCCTTGTTGAACTTTTTTAAGTAATGAAAAACAAGTCCAGAAAGGAGTAAAGTCTGTTTTACAGGTTTACCTTTAGGAAAAATTAGAAGTTACGCTTGATAGCCTGCTATGTTGAGAATAGAATGTGCTAAATGCCCAGTGGCTGTCTTTGTTCCTCACTCTCCTGTACTTGAGTATTGGAGAGAATGAATAGAAATTTGTTGATGTCCCTAATTATTTCCTTTCTCCTTATAGGTGGTTTTCCTGGGGGAATGCCTGGTAATTTCCCGGGAGGAATGCCTGGAATGGGAGCGGGCATGCCTGGGATGGCAGGAATGCCTGGACTCAATGAAATCCTCAGTGATCCAGAGGTTCTTGCAGCCATGCAGGTAAGATTTGGAAGACTGAAGTTGGGCTTTGATCATCTAAGCTTTTCTTTTCTACTTTTGTGTAGTGACAGCACACTAGCTGTTTTTCCTCTTAGTTATCAATTAGCTTATTTTGCAATCTGGCATTTTTCTAAATTGAGATGAATTTTTTAAAAATATTTATTTATTTTGCTGGGCAGTGCTGGCTCACACCTTTAATCCCAGTATTTGAGAGGCAGAGGCAGGCATATTTCTGTGAATTTGAGGACAGCCTGATCTACAGAGTGAGTTCCAAGACAGCCAGGGCTGCACAGAGACCCTGCCTCGAAAAAACCACAAACAAACAAACAAACAAAACCCAACATAGCTGAAAAATTCAATTCCATCCCTCTCTTTTTGTACTTTCTCTTCAGGATCCAGAAGTCATGGTGGCTTTCCAGGATGTGGCCCAGAACCCAGCAAATATGTCAAAATATCAGAGCAACCCAAAGGTTATGAATCTCATCAGTAAATTGTCAGCCAAGTTTGGAGGTCAAGCGTAATGTTAAACAGAGCCCTTGCTGAATGAAGAGCAGCTTAGCTCACTTACTGGATGTTGCAATAATACAAACCAGTGTACCTCTGACCTCATCGGGAGAGCTGGGGTGCTTCGAAGATTCTCCCTACCCTTCTGCATCAACTGCGGCTGAAGCATTTTACAGTGGTTTGCCATTAGGGTCTTCATTCAGATAATGTTTTCCTACTAGGAAGTACAAACCTAAAACACTCTTCAACCTTAAACATTTTTAAAAAATTTGGGGGTGTTAATTCCTACATTTTTCTTTACTAATCTTTTTGGGTTTTTCCTTTGAATTACTGGGCAAGGAAGCTGAATATGGTCGACTTACTGCTCTCATGAATGGAAATAAAGATTTGTTAGTGGGAAGCAAATAAAACCCATTTAAGTTGATTGAGTGGGACATATGGTTACTGAAGCATCTTGATTTGTCTTTTTTTTTTTTTTTTTTTTAATGTTTTATTTCACAATGATCTATTTCAGTGAATCTCTTGGGACCACCAATATTTGGATCTGACTTGGGTAGGACTGAAGTGTTGGACAGAGCAGCAGCAAGTCCTCGGTTTTGTTTGACCTTGTGTAAGCTGCATTGAAATCTTACACTGTGCTGCAGGGGCGATCTTTGTATTATTTTTTAAGTGTTACAGTGGAGTTAGAATATCTAGTTCTGCCATTGTCACTGTTTCAAATAAATGTTCCATAGCATTCCCACATAGTGGAAAAAGAGTGCTTTCTGTGTTTCTGTCAAAAATGACCTTTCCTATTAGAAATACCCCTATCTGCTTGTCCTCTTAATCTTCTTGAGCTAAGATAGTGGTTTTTCACTAACATCATCAGTTCTATCATTCACAGCGTAATTGTGGAAGTATATTTATTGCTAGTTTAATTTCATATAGTACATATGGTAGTTGTAAGGTCATACCTGTAACAGCTGTGGTCTTGTACTTGGACATGGGGTTGCTTGTTTAAATATTACAGTTCTACACTTGTGAACTATCATATCAGAAGACATTGGACGGAGGGATTCCCTTTGGTTTTAGATATGCTTATGAAATTGAGAAACAATTGCGAATTTAGAGTTCATGTTGAAGTATACATCTTTGTATTTTGAAGAGTTTAAATTGTTTATGTATGATGAAAGATTCATTCGTCCTATTTAGCTCTTAAGTACTCCGATGTGTTTAATGCCTGTTTTCTCTCCTTCCTTCTGCTGCAAGGATACAGGAAAATGATATCCAGAGTGCATATTTAAATTAGCACATATCTGAAATCATATGTCTGTGTGCAGGTTTACCTGCTTCATACAGCAGACACAGATGCATCTTGTTACATGTGAGAAAAAGCAGTATTTGAACAGAGCATGCGTTTAAAGTCCTTGACAAACATTCATCCCATAATCTTAAATTTGAAGTTTGCACGGTGTTCTTTTTGTTCAAGTGTGTTCTTTCATAAAATTCCATGGTGTGCTGTGCTTTCCTGAAGATCAGTTTCTTTTGGACTCTGACTATACATGACCTAATTATATTCTAATATTGCAAATACTACCATAAATGGGTGAAATTGCTCTTCTGATAACTGTGTCCTTTGCTTTTAGACTTCTGAGTTCCATAGATTAAAAAAAAAATACAGTCTTCATTTTTTTCATAAAGACTCAGTATCATTTCTACACCAGAAATATTGTTTTGTTTTTTTTCACTAAAGATACTATAAGAAAAATACTATAAGAAGATAGAGGGGTTTTCTGCTTAAAGATATGTGGTTAATATGCCTAAGATGCTAAAATAAAATATGGTTTCAAACTGGATCTTGACCTTCCCCTATTTGTTAGCATGTTTTTGTTTTTGTTTTTTTGGTTGCAGTAGTCACTGAACTTATGTAATGGGTACAGTAGGCTATGGATTGCTAAATGTCAACAGAAACCCCTAAAAGCTGAATATAGTGATTCCACACATGTAATCTCAGTACTTGAGAGGATGAGGGAGGAGTCTGAGTTTGAGGCCAATCTGGACTGTGTAGCAAGACTTCAAATCCCGAGAACCGCCCTCCACTCCCACTCACTTCCTTAATTAATTCAGAGGTTTACTTTTGGTAGCTTTCTAGAAGTAGGCAGTTCTGCCACATATTGTAGTAAGTAACTTAGATGTGGGTCCAGAGAAGTTGCCTGTCTTAACACCTGAGGAAAAAGGCATGTGATCAGGGACACAAATGGGGAGATGCTGATGATACATGGTGTTAACAGCTCTTTTCATACCCCATTGGTCAGCTTGATTAACTATGGGGGAAGAGAAACAGCACACAGGTATGTGTTTATGTGGAGAAACGATTGGACAAAAACAAAAGGCTTGGTTAGCCTACTAGCTATTACACCTTCGGAGACAGCTTCATAGAGGAGAAATAGCTTCTGTTTCAGAAAGTGACTCACACCTAAGGTAAATGGACCTGAGGTAAATGGTTCCAGGCCCTGGTAGAATAAGTTCCTCCAATGATAACTTTAATTCTAAGTCCTCCAATGATAACTTTAATTCTAAGTACCTTTGCTTTGCAATTTTGTAGGTGAAGAAACTGAAACACTTCGGTAATTGCTCAGTGTAACATTTGTGAAGCTAGGATTTTCACAGACACTTGTGGCTTCCCAGCTCTTTATAAATCCCTTACTCCTGATTATTACAGAAGTTTGTGGGGACACGTGTCTGTGCTTGAGTGATCATTTTGAAACAAGATTTCACTATGCAATTTGAAACAAACTCATTTGTGTAGACCAGGCTGCTAAGCGTCTGCCTCATGTGTTGAGATCAAAGGCATGCAGTACTGTGCCTGGCTATTACAAGTTTGTTTTTATTGTCTTGTTGCCTCAGGGTAGACCTCAGCCTTGTAACCCAGGCTGGCACTTGAATTCTCATCTTTCTGCCTCAGCCTCCCAGCTACTTGTATTAGGACAATAGTTGTGTCAGCATGCTTGATTGCTGCTTTAAGAAATAGAAAGGTAGCTGGGTGGTGGTAGTGCACACCTTTAAACCCAGCACTCAGGCAGAGGCAGGCGGATCTGAGTTCTAGGCCACTCTGGTCTAGAGAGTTAAGTTCAGAGCAGCAAAGGCTACACAAAGAAACCCTGTCTGGGGGTGGAGGTGGATGGGTGGAGAAATTGAAAGCTAAAATGGACATGTGAATGAGACTGGTTAAATAAAGAATATCGGGTTATGTGTGCTGCTGAATACATTACTATTCTCTGAATAGTAAAGGACAGCATAATTGAAGTGCTTTGTCTTTTAACAAGTATGCAACTAATAAGACTGTGATTGGGGCTGGCGAGATGGCTCAACAGTACATCTTGCAGAGGACCCATGTTCAGTTCCCAAGCACCCACCCATGTTTGGTAGTCCACAACCGCATGTAACCCTAGCTCCAGGTGGTTGTAGCCCTCTTGACTTCCAATTGCACTGCACTAACATGCACAAACATGTACTTTTAAAAATAAAAATAGAGTTCATGGGTTGAAGGGGAAGACAGATACAACAATAGCAAGTTTTGAAAGTTTGGACAATTCTGTGAGACTTCGTTGTGTCACGATGGAAACATGAAATACCAATTTTTCTCTTAGATTTATCTTTACGTGCATGAGTGCTTGCATTTATTTATGTAAGTGCATCTGATGCCTTCAGAGGACAAGACTGGATTCCCCTGGAACTGGATTACAGAGGGTTGTGTGATGGCAACTGAGCCCAGATCCTCTGCAAGAGCAGCAGACATTGTGAGCTGTTGAGCCGTCTGTCTAGCCTCAACTTGTCAGTTTAAGCAAACCGAAGCCTCATGCTACAGCTTTTACCTACCATGCCTTAGGCCCTTGATTTCAAATCTAGCGGGCTTAGTGATGGGTGTTGGAGGTGGCTGCATGAAGAAATGAATGTTGAAGTTGATGACCTGACTCCTTAGCTGTGGCCATCAGCTTATCTTGGAGGGGTGGTTTTATTGTGGCATGGTTTCTGTACACCCCCTCCATGGTACTGGGATAACAGGTGAAGGTTACTAGGATATGTTTGGGGGCAGGGGCGGTTGTAGGTTTTTTGGGGGTTTTGTTTTGAGACCCAGCATGATCTCAAGCTCTAGCTAGCCAGGTAGCCAAAGGTGACTCAGCTGATTCTTTTAACAATGTATGTATGTCTCAATGAGTGCGTATAGGAACCTGTGGATGTCATTCCCTGGAGCTGGAGTTAGAGTCGTTGCCTCCATGTGGGTGCTGGGAAATAATCATGGTTCCTCTGCAAGAGTAGTAGAATTTAGGTTTCCCTCCAGTCTCTTGATCCTCCTTTTTCTGCTTCCTGAATGCTGGAAATACAGGTGTTTGTGGAGTGCTGGGGATCATGCTAAGCAAGCATTCTTACAACTGAGCTACAGCCTCAGCCTGCCAACGTGTATTTTGTAAAGGAATTGGGGTGCAGAGGTCATTAGGAGTTTTTATGTCCCCCGTTTTATGTCAATAGGCATGACTAACCATGTTAGCTTGCAAACAGTCATGAGCCCGCCCTGGCGGCGCTTTGAGCGCGGATCATCTAAGTACTCCGGGCATCGCCCCGCCCCTTGCTCTCTCCGGACCAATCGGTGTTCAGGGGCTGGTCTCCCGGCCGACCGAGGCAGCTTGTGACCCGGAAGTGGTTGTTCTGGTGGAGGCGGGCGGGTCTGAGAGGTGGGGCTTGAGACGCTCCTTTCAGGAGCCCACACTGCCGCGTCTGAGGGGAAAAGTGTGGCATTATGGCCTCTGTGTTGTCCTACGAAAGCCTGGTACACGCCGTGGCCGGAGCCGTGGTGAGGAGGGGTTTGGGGCTTTTCGAAGTCAGTCCCGGGATGGGGCCGGGACATGGGCACGAGGGGGCTGTGGGGGCTGAGTCTGTCAGGACTGGGAAAGTTGCTGCAAGAGTGAGGGGGAGGCCAGCACCCACCCGCCTGCCTGCCCCTGCCCCGGCGGCGGCGCTCTCCCAGAGCCCGTCCGGACTGGCAGTCACAAAGGTCCGGAGTTGCTGTTTTCTTCACCTTGTAACGTTTAAGGCCAGCCATCCCCATACTTCACACAAACTTCGTCTAACTGGTCCTGAGGAGAAACTAGGTGTGAAGCTGTGGTGCTTGACGTAAGGCTGCTGACCGCCAGTGTCACACCTTACCACAGGCAAGTGGCAATAGCTAGTAGAATACCTGTGATCAGCGTTATTGCCAGGAAACGGTAGGGTGTTTTTGTTTTTTTAAAATCAGGATCGGTGTTGTTATCCATTCCATGTACAGTTACTGTGAGTTAAGTGCTCGGTTCTTGCACACAGAGGCGTCTGGGTTCCTTCCCTTGACACCCTTCCCTTTTCCTTGTGACTTTACATTCTTGGCACGAGTAACGTTCCTCTTTGGTTCTTTTCCTCGGACTCTTTCTCATGTCCTTCCCTAACTTCTAACCAACATGTGCCTTTTGCCTTTTTAGAATTACTCTGGACCATTACTGTCTGTTCGGTGGACCATTACTGAATGCTGCTCCTCCCCCAATATTAATTCAGGGACCGCTCATGTTCTGTAAAGAGGAATCTGAGTTTCCAAATTCCAGTTCTATTACTTATTTACTAGGTAATCTCAAGTCTCACCTTTGTAACCTGTAAAGCAGAAGAAATGATAGTTTTCTCCTAGACTCTTGAGAATCAGGTGAGGGGATATTACATGAGTGTCTTAATCAAGAAGCCTCATTCATTTAAATCAACCAGAAGAGCCTTTCACCCTGTGAAAGACCTGCGATGGAAGTTTGCTTGACGTGTTTCCAGTTTTCAGTTGGTCACACAGACCTGTGTGACTGGAGTGGAAATGCAAATGGCCACCAAATTATTCATGACTTTGTGTAGGAAAGAGCGGCTGTTGAACTTACTAATTTACATGTCAGACCTGATCTTCTAGGCTTCTTCCTCTGTGGAAGTAGAACAAGGAAGGCACAGTAGTCAGGCAAGAAGTGGTTGTAAGGCTTAGATGAGGTTGTAGAAGTGGAAGTGGTAAGTGATCGTTCTCTTGAAATGTATTTATAAGAGCCACCATAGTTTAGTGAGAGATACCATGTAGATTAGGGTTGGTTGTCTGACAGATTTTTGCCTGAAGGAACATGGTCTTCCTCCCGAGTGAGCTGACAATGGTGAAGGCATGGGTTTGGGGGAAAGATAAACTTGGTTCTAGTTTTGAGCTAGTTAAATTTGAAGTCCCTGAGAGTAGCCTGACATTAAATAATTAACTCACCAAGGAAGTGAACATGGACTAAGAAAAATGACTGAGTGGAAAAGCAGGCGACATTAAAAGGTCGGGGAAGTAAGGTTTTGGGCACAGAGAAGACCTGAGAACTAGTGGGGGGGGGGAGGAAACTGGAAACGTGCTCTGCCAGCTGTTTGGAGGAAGTATTTCGGGAAGAAGGGTGTTGTCCCAGTGGGTCATCTGCTGCCAGGCAGTCAAGTAAGGTGAGGACAGTGAACTAATCACTGGGCTTATCAAAATAATACATACAGTGGTTAATCGAGAAGACCAATTTTGGTGGATTGGTGGCCAAGATGGAATGTAACAGAAAATAGAAAGAAGATAAATCTTTGTTACTTCTTCTTTCTCTTATCCAATGCCATTTATTGAGTTCATTCTGTGGGCCGTATGGTCTTCTAGGTTCTAAGAATATAATAAACAAAGTCACTTTCTTCACTAACTGTTGGTTCCAGTAGAGAAGCCAGTAAATGCGTAAACAAAATGATTTTAAATAGTGAGCTATTAAATAAGTAAGGCTGGTAAGCATTTTTTATGTAAGGTGAT